CGGCTGCGGTGGACCTCTTTGTGTCTTCCGCGCTCGGGGAGCGGCAGTGGGCTTCCTCGGGTCGGCCGCCGCCTCCAAGGCAGGTGCCCCGGATCGCGCACCCAGCGTTGGCAGGGGAGCCTCCCCGCCCCTTAAAATCTGGTGTGCCGGTGTCGCTTCTCTCGCGGTCCGGACCGAGGAGGCTCCGGCCCTGCAGCTTGGCACCCTTGCTCTTCGGTAGGCATGGAGCAGGCGCCAGCGGCCCCGACGGCAAGCCACTCTGCGCTTCGGGGCGATGAAGGTAGTACATCAGAAAGTCACGGTAACAGCGGTAGTAGTCGGACAGAGAAGTGGGTTTTTTCGAGAGTGACGGAGTTAGCAAAAAAGCGTTAGAAAGCACTTGTGAATGAAACTTGTTTAGTGCTATGAATGAGACTCGAGAATGCATAGAAATGCTGAAGATGGCTTTTTTGTTTCTTTTTAGTTTGGCTAATTTCATTTTACCTGTCCTTTAGGCCCTGTTTCTCTTTAAATTTCTATTGGTAATGTAAGCGTTTCTTGGTTTTGATCTTTTCCAACACACATTGACTAGGTAACTCTTAAAATTACACTCCAGAAGAATGTCAAGGAATTACAGTGTAGTACAGCTCCAGAAATGAGCCCCAGCTTTTGGTTTTTTTCTTTGACTTAAGGTTGATGACTGTTGTTTGTGGAAGAGGAAGAAAACTAAGTAAAACTTGTGAATATTGTTTAATGCCTTCCTTGGGCCTTGACTATACTTCTGAAAACTAAGCAGTTAATGGGAAGTCTGGATAGAAATTTCACATCTTTTTCCACTCTCTGGAATATATTTGCTGTCAGTTACACATTTGAGACAACATTATGTGTTTTAATGTGACTTTTTTTTTTTTTTCCTCCAAAGGTAGTGAAAAAGAAGATACCAAGATGAGTAAAAAGCCTCCAAATCGTCCTGGAATCACATTTGAGATTGGTGCTCGTTTGGAGGCACTGGACTATTTACAAAAATGGTATGGAGGACATTGTGCAGTATTTGCTGAGAGCATAATTATTTGTGTATATCGTATATTTTTATGTCTAATTATAAAACTTAGCACACCTATTAATTGACTGCTTTACGTGTGAGCTTCATGAATTTCCATGTAATAAGTCTGTTAAGACTGTTAGTTTTTAGGAAAACATTCTCTCTTCAGAAATCAAACTAAACTCCTCTACAGTTTTCCTTTGTTTGCTTTTAGTTGCTTGTACAAGCTGTGGTAAGCAAAGAGCATTTCCAGAGTGCTGTGGAATGCAGTGTCATGTGCGAGATGACAGTGTTAATGTGGCAAACTTCTGTGACTAAAGACTTCTTTTGTTTTAGTTTGAAGGCATGCAAAGTGAATTTGTTTTGTATTCAGTTATCACAATTCATAGGTTCATAAAACTGACTTTAAAAAACCCAACACATTCCTAATAGGAGTTCATGAAATGGCAAGTACAATTGTATTTGTATCAAACAGCTGGAGGAATAAAGTGCTTAAAGCTGTGACTCTGCACCACCCAGTCATATTGTAAGTCAAGACTGTAAAATGTAAATTTGTGGGCACAAGGACCATGCTACACAGCAGGTGTATTGTGGAAGGAGCTATTTTAAAATGTTAGTCAAAATTTTATTAATGCCGATGGGCTGATTTCATTATGTATGCTGGCCATGCTATTTCAGTTTGAAAAATCCCTGGGTTTGTTAAAGTAGAAGACAGAAAGCTGATAATTCTACGCAGATTTTTTTTCTTAGCTGCTCTCTGATTAATTAGGACTGGGAAATGTAGAGGCCTCTGTACCAGCTTTTCTGTTGCATTCCTGGAGAGCGAAGTACATTCATGTAAATTGCTGCTGCTGACTCTCAGTTATGTGATAGAGAAGTCTGTGTATTATTTACATGTTTACTCCAGTAGTTAAATGCTCTGTATAAAAAGTTGGGTTAAACGTTTATCTGTAGAGCTTTGCTTGTAATTATAGTAGAAGTGTTTGCTTTTATAAATAGTCTCTAAAAGAAAATATGGTTTAGAAAACAGTTCTTGTTCTTATCTGTTGCTGTAGAGTGGGTTTCCAACATACTGATTCTATAACTGAATGCCAAGATCATGAAACTGTCTGAATAGTGCTATAAATATAAAATAATTTTAATAAAACTTTTTATAGCACCTGTGACTAGAGATAATATGTTAATGTAACTAGATAACGAAAGTTAATACGTAAAAGTAGCTTTAGCTTAATTGTATTTATTAAAAAAAAAAATCACTGAATATCCAGTGTATAGTTTCCATGAGATCTGCCCAGCCCTTTCACAGGAAAGGATTGCATGTCAGTTCTGGACTACTTGTCTAGGTGCTCTGCAGCTGAGTTGCTTGGTATTTTCGGGCAGAATAGAATTTATCCTGAACTTCCTAGGAACTGATTCATCATCTGAACCATCAGGTAGAACAGGTCAAGTTTTCTGGTGCCATATACAGGAGCAGAAAGTTAATACTAAAACTTTGCAGTTACATCAACAGTGAAAAGAGGACTCTTAATTCAAATGAAATAGTATTCATGTACCTAACGAAAGAGCGTGTTAGAGAAAGCCTACTGTGGTGTTGTTATTAGGGTGACACGGGCTGGAATAATATAGTCTATGTGACTTTTTTTTTTTCTTAGGTTTCTGTTGCATAAGAGGATGGTGGATGTTTTTTAAATTCTATATATAAGCTGTGTGCAGTCCTCTCATCTGCATGCAGAAATACATACTTCAAAGAAAATAAAGTTGCTGAACTTACATGAAATCTCTTTATATTTTTTAACAGAACCAAAATTGGAGAGCAGTAGTATTGCTTAGCTCAGTCTTTCTACAAGTGACAAATTGAGAACACTTGCTGAAAAATAGCCTTTGAAAGGGTTTATTTTTTTTTTTCTGAAAGGCTGCTTTCATTTAAAGATCCAGTGTTCATGACCATTTAAAATGTTAATCAAAAATGCTTCTAAAGGACGGGAGAAAATATAGTAAATTATGTTTTTGCTTTCTGAGGCACTTCTACAGATTTTAAGTTTTAATCTTTGTAGTAGTTGCTGAAATGAATCTCATGGAATCTGGTGTTCCGTTTGAAATCTGTAAACCTTGGAGAGGGTGTTGTGTACCTTGACTATTTATTGTTTATAAACCTCATACTTTTAAATGAGGAAGTTTTGCAGACAGTGTTTAGGTCACTGGTATCATTTGGCATGTACGTTTACTGAGCAGAAAATGCCTGGTCAAACTAATCAACAAAAGCTATCAATGAGCATGTTTATTTTTGCTTTGTTGTGGAGGTAGCTGCAATTGCTTCTTTATCAAGTGCAACCATATACTGTTGCAGTGGAGGTCATCTGACATAATGAATTTGTACCACTTGTTAAATTTAAATTTACTAAAGCAAACTTAAGAAATGCAGCTCCAATCAAAATCAAAGTGATCATCTCTCAACAAGATAATAAGTGAGATGGGATTGACTGATAATAGAAAATTATGGAATACAGATGACATGATCAGGGGACTGGAGTGTATGACTTGTGAAGAAAGGGTGGGGAAACAGGACTTGTTTCGCTTGGAGAAGGCTTCAGGACACCCACTAGCAGCCTTCCAATACCTACAGGCATGTAATCAAGAAGTCTCAGCCAAGCTCTCCACAGTAGTGTGTGCTTTGAGGACAAGAGACAACAGGCACATGCTGAAACAAGAGAGATTCAGGCTGGGTACAAGAAGATTCTCCCCATGGGAACGTCAGCCAGTGAATCAGGTTGACCAGAGAGTTAGTGGAGTCTCCAACATTGGAGGTTTTCAAGACTGAACTGGGTAAAACTCTGGAAACCTTGGTCTGACCCCATAGCTGACCCTGCTTTGAGTGGGAGGTTGGACGAGAGCCTTTCTGAGGTCCCTTCCAACTTGAATTATTCTATGATCTCATACAAAACCTGATATGTGTGTACACCCCCCTGTGCCTCTCACTGATATCTCACTGATACATCAGTAAAACTGCACACATTTGCCAGTACATGCCTATGTGTAAGACTAGTTCTTAAGCTGTTAGCTCCTGCAAGTAGGACACAGTCTCTGCAAAGCTGATGTATTTGAAGATGCATCTCCTTTTTTTTTCCAGTTTCCTTGTGTCTTTTGTAGCTCTAGCTCTCTACTGGTTGTCCTGTAAGTGTCAGGTACTGCTTTGAAAAAAACAACCCTGTTGTTTTGCTGAGACTTTATTGATCTGCTTAATCTGAGTCTTTATTGATGTGTTTGATCTAAACTAAAAGTTAGGTAATGAAGGAAGTACAGATAACGTGGCCCTTGTTACAGTTCTGGAATGGAAACAGCTCACTAATACAGGTTAGTTATTAGAATAACAGCACTTTGACTTGGTGTATTTGATTGCCTGCATGGATTTATTTTTTTTTTTCTCCAGTATGCAGGAAGTCTTTTCACTGTAAGGCTTTTAGAAATCTTAAGCAAGGACTGTTGTTTTCAGTTAACTGGGTTACCCAACAGCCAGGTGTTTGAAAGGACTCTGAAGACACTGCTTTATATTTATATAGTACAATATATATAATAAAAAACATGGGAAATTATAAATAGGTGTTTGCAGATTTTACAGATACCAGCAGACTACTTGTGGAGAAGTCAGAATGGAAGCTATTTGATTCTATGTACTCTACAAAGTAGAATGAAAGACGTTTTGTACCATTATTGTGAAGGTGGGAAGTATGTGTCTGGATTTAGACTTTGTAAGTGCAAACTTGGGGGCAAATTTACTAAATTTTTTTCAATTTTTTTTTTTACAGTTTGAAATAGCTGTGGTTTCGTCTCACAGGGCAGTTCACCATTTTTTGGTCACTTTTGAAGGGTCAGAAGGAAAATGGTGATTTAAAAATGGAAAATACTGTCCATGTGGTCATTAATATGTGTTGACTACATTGAGGAAAATGTTGTTTTGTTTTTTCTTTTACACTGTCAAGAAATGAAAACTGGAAGTTTCCCATTAGTTTTTCCTATAGGAGCGTTATTGTTGCCTGATCAGTGCTTCATAGTGTAAATTTTCTAAGCCATATTACATTTTGCAGCTTTACAAAAGCATTGCTTAATTCTTATGGGTTGGAATCACTGGATCTGAGAATGGAGAGCATGCAGTATGTAAACTGGGCAGATACCATCAGCTGACGATTGTTTTCTTGTTCTGTCTTTATAAAACAAGAACAAAACCCCCTGAACTTTGGATGAGACTTTATTTGGGATTATTTAATGCTATTTCCACCATACTATTAAAAAAACACACCCAAAATTTGCAGGTTATTGTTCCTTTTCACAAAAAGAACACTTTCATTGTTGAACTAGAGTGTGGTGGTCTAATTTGGGATGTTTTTCAGTGAAAAGTAAAGAGGAGTAAAGAGTAGTAAAGAGAAAAGTAAAGAGTAGTTTTTCCTCAGTTTTTTAGAGTGTATTTTTCTCGTTCGTGCTGAACAAAATCTATTTGTATACCAAATTCATTCTGATTCCTTAGTGTGGAGCGCTTGCTGGAGGCAGATGAGGAGATTTAACCTGACTGGAAGGCAGGTTGAGCCTTAGACATCATTGCACTTTGGCACTGTAAATAGTGATGTTTGTATTCTCCCTTGTAGTATTTTGTAATGCCTGCTTGTAGCTTTGCGATGGAAGGAACTTCTACATAAAATTTCTCGTGTGTATGAGATATAACCACCTACATATTAATCTTTTTGTAGAATAAATATAGACATTGCTCTTAATCATAGTAAAAGCTTTCCTGTACGCATTGTTGCTAGAAATCTTTAAAAAGGCAGATTAAAAAATTTATGTTGCCATTTTATCTTTTATTAGCAGGAAATGCATACTTGCCTTTGAAATATTTGTATAATTTTGCAATTTATTAAATTGATTATTTTCAGTAAAAGTACAAGAACTGTATCACCAAAAAAATGTTTCTGTGCAGCATAAAATTTGCAATAGTAAATTCTGCAATACATGTGCTCTGCTCTTTTCCACTGTGCGATCAGTATTGTGAAATATTACTGTTTATACATATTTGTGGCACATCGTGTGACTAAATTTAGTGGGTATTGAGGATAATAGCTTGTTGCTAAATCCATACAGAGTTATTTTTAGGTTGTCTAATAACCAATTGTACGTAGCTTGGGTGGTTCAGAGATTTGCTAAATCTTGTATCTCTGAGGACTGGAGTTAAATGCAGGTTTTGGCTCTATTCATCTTGCAACCACTCTCTTAACACACACTGAAGAAACATAAATTATTGAAATAAAGCCATTATGTGATGATATGATTATTATGAGATTTAACTGTGCAAAACCAGTATTATGGACTTTGATGCAGAGCTGATAGTGGCATTTTAAAAATACTTTGATAGCAGAAATTGCATTTATCAAAGCGAAATTAGCCAGTAAATATCTGGTGCTGTTTCATCTGTTGAGTGATCCCTAATGAGACAATATTTTGCATATCTTATTAACTGTTTCTATCTTTGCTCTTTTTTCCTTTCCTATTGAAGAAATATTCCCTATTTCTTCCATATGCCTTGACTCTTGACTTGCTGAATTTCCTTAAAACTATCTTCATGTCTCTAAATGATACTCATTATTTTACTTCCCCCTCTTATTCAGATTTCTCTTTCCAGGACAGTGTACCATATTTTGTCAGATTATCCCTTCTGTTGTCTTCTACACGTAGTACTTGGAATGGTGACTTTGCTGATGAAGACCAGTGAAAGCTACCAGCCATAAAAGCAATAAAAATGTAGGAAGGGAACTACTACAGTGTAGTGCCATAATGGCAGCAGAGTATTTGCATTGTAAATGCATTGGAAAAGGAGCATTCTGCCTTTTGGCCGATGGTCCCCGGATTTTGTAAAATAACCACAGTTTTTCATCGCTACCTGGCTGGTATGTGATAAACCTGAAATTTCCAAGCGTGGTGGGGAAAAAACACCATCATTCTTGTCTTGAATTTCATTACTGCAGCTTCAGTGCTTGTGCACAAGCTCTCATTTTTGATTGCTATGAAGTGATCTTCCTGTCCTCTTGCTCTTCTGGTATTTTTCCTCCCTTCCCTCTGTTAAATGCTTTCTGTGTCATCCTTTACTTCTGTTCAGAACCCTTTTAGGTAAGTCCTTACTCATACATTTGCTGTAGTAACAGTAACTTTATTTTTTCTTCTGCTTTGCTACTCTTCCTGCTTATTCTGACACTTAGTGTCTAGTTGTAAGAAGTCTGAAATTGGAACACTTGGGAAGATGAAAAAGCTAGTAAGAAATCTTATAATAAAATTCCTAAATGTAGCCGCACGTGGACTTAAGAAAAAAGCATCGTCAGAGGCAGGGCTTAGGAAAACCATCTCTTGGCTGACTTACTTTCTTGAAGCCTTGTTCAAAGTTAAACCAGCATGCTGATGGTGGGATTCAAGTTTTGACCTAGGAGCTTTACTTTCTGTTTTGATACAATTTATCTTCACTGTTCTTGTTAGGTTGTGGCTGTCAGTCTACTTGAGAGGGGAGAGTTGACCTTGTTGCTCCTTTGAGAGAAGTCCCATGGATTTCTTCTGTCTTGAAAAGGATTTTGTTAGTAGGGTGGCAGTGAGAGCCCACAGTTTGAGACTAAGATGTTTGTTTGGCTTGTTTTTAAGTTCACTGAGAAGAAATTGTAAACTTAATGGCTATGAAAGTTTTGCATTTATGAAGTGTATGGATGAGAGAAATGCAAGAAGAGGTTGGACTGTCTGTGCATTCCAGTGCAAGGGTGAAATGTGACTGAAGTAGTTATCTAGAAAATCAGAGTTTTTCCCATTCACCAACTCCTGAGATATTTAGATGTTGGGAAGCTGTATGCATCACTGCAGCTGAAGAAATAAGACTGGAGAAATGAAGGAGCAAATTCAGATTGACACGTTTTTGTTTTAGGGCCCTGTTCTAGTCACCAGGAAATAAGGAAAGCTTGTACTTCCTTATTTGTGTTAAAGGCTTCTTTATCAGCACTGTCAGTATTTTGGAGAGAAAGTATTCGAAATGGAAAATGTTGACAGGGTTCCTGTATATGTCAATCGCATTTCTAGCTGATGAAATTTTCAGTAGGACTGGAAATTGGTTGCTCGATCTCTGCACTCTTTACTACTGCTCCACAGTAACACTTTGTTAGAAAAACAGGTCACCTCTTAATGAAAGACTGCCATCCTTTTGCTGTGGTCTTTCTTTCCAATATACATTTTGTTAACTTTAGACCTAATATAAACTCTGGAGAAAATTTGATCAAATTAACTTTTTTTTTTAGGAGATTCTTTGCACTTTTGAATTAATTTCAATACTTATGTGAAGGGCAGAAGGAGCTGAATTCTGCCTCATTCCAATTTTCTCTGCATTTCATACAGTGGAAATAATGCAATCTAATAATTTTGGTGGAGGAAGTAGTGTGGCAAAACCAATTTGTGCCTTGCTCCCCTACTACAATTTTGTGAAATACATCACTTCAGTAAACAGAAATAGTAAGACTCAACAATAATTGCTGAAGTTCAAGAAATTTGCTGTTTTTCCCTACAAATGTAATCTCAACCTTAGTGATTCCTCAACTACATCTATGCCATACCAAATATTAGATGCCTGAGACTTAATCTGGTTGCAGTTCAGTCCTCGTTAGTTCTACTGAGCACATACAGTGTTTGCTGAGAGTAAAATCCATGTGTTAAGACTGACGTATTTATTTTAGTGCATATAGAGTTAGATGACTACTAGAAGTTACTATAAATGAAATTTCATGGTAGTGAAATCATGGAAGTTGATCTATAAATTAGTAAATGGCTTAGATTAAATAAGAATGTTAGGTTGACTTCTGGGTTTGATTAGTTGCTTGGATTTGTCTGGAATCAATGGTATAGTTTGAAGCATTTAATATGATGAAAGTAACAAAGGTACTCCTAAAAATACTTTGTATCCATTCTATTCCCAAGCAAACAAAAACTTAAAAGGATTTTGTTTTAGATAGAACACTGGTTTTAAAACAGATAAGCACTAACTTCTAATGTCAGTTTCAGGCAGTTTTGGTCTGAGAGTTTCAGGTTTAAATTTGTGTATAAGCATCTGACTAGGATGAAGCTGATGACACTGATGTGTATAGATAGCTCTTAAATGAAATGTTATCCTACTATTAACTTATAATGTAATCTTTTTCAGACTCAGATATTTCTCAATACAAGGTGTTAATGTAACTTTCTGAATGGACATGTAAGCACTGTTGTGTGCCAAAACAACCCCAACCTTTGAAAAAGCTTTGAGATGTATCAGTTTATGTTTATCATTCAAGGTATCCATCTCGTATTGAGAAGATAGATTATGAAGAGGGGAAGATGTTGGTCCATTTTGAACGCTGGAGTCATCGCTATGATGAATGGATTTACTGGGACAGCAATAGGTTGCGACCCTTGGAGCGACCAGCATTAAGGAAAGAAGGGCTTAAAGATGATGAAGAATTTGTTGTAAGTGGCACATTTATTTTTGTCTTTGACTTTTTTTTGTAAACTGTTGTTTTCTTACATTAAATCTCTCTGGCACATGATTAATTCTTTTTAGGAAAAAAATCAAAATTATTAAAATATTAATAACTAAATTTGTATAAAATAGGATTTTAAACCTGGAGAAGAAGTCCTAGCTCGTTGGACAGACTGTCGATACTACCCTGCAAAGATTGAAGCAATTAATAAAGAGGGTATGTATTCATGTATGGTCCATGGGTAAGGATGATTTGCATAAGCTATGCTGTTACCTGTAGTCTGCTTAAGTGACATGTATAAAGTTTCCTTGCTACCTCAATATTAAGTGAAAATGTTTCTATTATATCAAAATTAGTAAGAGGTTCTTTTATCTGTGTGAAATTAGAAAATTGGATTTTCTCCTGGAGGACAAAATGCTTAATTTCCTCAGTGATGAGAAGTATATCTTGTGCACAGTGTTACGAATATTTTGTACTATTGTTAATTTGGATTAATGATATATTGAAATTTTTGTAATTGCTTTAGGAATGGTAGATCTCTTTAAAGTTTCATTTGTTGAAGAAAAAACATGGAAATGGGGAAATAAAGGAACACCTTAGATGCAATACTTTGCAATGGGGTGATATTTCTAATGAAGATAAGTAGAAGCTGAAGCTTTGACTGTAGTTTAAAGCAAACAAGGATTTGGTTGTGAATTGACTTGTTTTCCTATTGTGACAACTTAAAGATGACAATTTTTTCAGTGAATTATGAGCAAAAGTGACATGGTGGCATAAACATGCATGAAATTGTCCAGATGGACAAAGAGCAACAGTATAAAAGCAAGGTTTCATTGAGGCTATCATTTAGTTTTTCTTAAAATTCCTTATTCTTACTAGGTAAGACCTGGTTACTTTCTTCATACAGCCTACAAAACATTCTGCTGAAAGCTTTCATGGTAACAAGGTATATTTGTTTCTTAACTACTCATAGTGATTTCTTCAATCCTTTTCTAGGAACATTCACAGTACAGTTTTATGATGGTGTTATTCGATGTCTTAAGAGGATGCATATCAAATCTATGCCAGAGGATGCAAAAGGGCAGGTAAGAATACTTTAGGTATCTCTGTTAGGTTTTATATAGATGTTTTTTAGTATCTTGAGATAGTAAAAATGTCATCTAGCACAACTAGTTTTAGATTATAGTCTTTATTCTAGGTCCTGCACTGCCTTGCTTCACTAGTTTTATGGATGATGCCCCAGAGTGTGCTGCACAAGTAGTCTTGCCTCTATCTGAAATGCCTAGCTGCTGTACACTCCATTGCTGACTAATCTGTATCCAGAGTTTTGTCTTCAGAGTTTACAAACCCAGAGTCACCCAGAGACTTTGTCCTCTGGTGTTCTTTCAGGAAAAAGATTTAGCTTGTCAGTAGTCTGCTGCTGACTTCTATTTATTTATTCTTCCCCACCCTTCACCCCATCTCTGTTGTTTGCTGCCACGGTAGCTTTTTGCCCACATGTTCTTGTTAACATGACTGTTCTGTGGGGGGTTTCTCCCCTGTACCAGAACTTCTGGGGATGTAGACAGATAAACATTTCTTTCCCTGATAATGTTCAGTTGCTGTTAAGAGAGATGCTGGGTAGAAGTTGAGGCAGGCTCTGAAATAGAGGACACTATTTAGTCACTAGGCATATCTTTAATTGCAAAAGGGAAACAATATTGAAAGCTGTTACATGACCTCAGTGGAAATGCCATTGCATTTATCTTGCATGGTAACTGTATTTTCATAGTTAATGAAAGAGACATTACTCCACTGAAACTATTGAGACTCAGAGACAAGAAATGTGGAAAAAACCTGCTCTTATTTGCTCTCAGTCCTCTCAGAGTACACCTTCCAAGTTGGCAAATAAAATTCAGGTATTTCATAATTAGTGTTGTAACCACCCATATTGTGACAAGGACAGATAGATAAGTGAATTGGCTTGAAAACATTTCTATATGCTGGCCTCCAGGTTATGGCTAACTGTATACTAGTGTTGATCATCTATGCAAAGGTGTTTCCTTAAACAGATTAAACTGAAATCTGTACTCACACTAACACTGGCTTCTTACTGCAGTCTTACAATAACTCTATGAACCAATATGTAATATTTCAAAAAATACTTAGAGTATCACAGTAAATTAGGAAGCTAGAGTATTTAATTTTACTTCATAAAAAGGAAAACTTGTGTGATGTGGTTGTAGCTGAACTGAAATAGCCCTTCTGTGACAATGAAGTCCCTTACTCTGTCCTGTGCTGTTTCTGGGGAGCTATGTTGTCTCTAATTTGAGTTACTACTCTTAGGCTACAGGCATTTTAATCTTTAAAAAAAAATAGTAAATCCATTTCTTAGCAACCATTTTGACATCCAGACATGCTTGGTGACAGTCTAGCTCATCTATTATTTCTAAGTTTCCTCAGTAGTTAAGAGTTATGGTGTCAGTCTCATGCATCTCAGAGGCTGAATGTAGGTGGCCTCAGTGGAGCCTTGAGAAAGAATAAGGGGGCCAAATTTATACTTTCTGAGATGGATTTACAATTTTTGTCTTGCAGCAAGAACAACAATAATTATGCTTTGTATAATGCTAAGTGATACCAGTTATAGCATTTAATTTTGCAAAAGTAGAGATAGGCATGAATTTGTGTAGCTCTCAAAGACAAAGACACTTTTTTATGCAACATCTACATCATTATGCTATGGCAAAATGTTTGTTTTTCAAAATATTTTTGTGGTATTTAAAAGTATGATTTAAGGTATGGTTTAAAAATCAGTTATCTGAAACTGAGCTTTGTCTATGCCTAGAACTCTAATGGATGTTTTTGCTTTTTTGCATTATTTGAGAGGACATTTAGTGAAAATCATGTAAAGCTTAAAAAAATGCCAAGAGTATAACTTGATTTGAAAAATAGAGGAGTTGGCAGATCCAACACTTCATGCTTAATTTCAAGCTATGACTTGGGTTTTTTTTTGTTCCAAAGAAAAACATACATTTCAAGAGATGAGTGTAAGCTTAAGATACCTCAAGTTCTAGTGCATTAGCAAATTTAACAAGTGTAAGATCTGTTTGGAAGGTGTATGCTAAGCATGCAGAATTTGAATTACATGGAGAAACAGAGATCTAGACTAGTTAATTCTTTGATTTGAGCTTAGTGTGTTATAAAGGAAGAGCTTGTAAACACAGTAATACTCAAACTATTTTTGAGTTGCATCAGAAGTGTTTTATTAAAACTAAGCTGTGAGGGTGGAAAGGCAAAATTTTTGGAGTGGAAAATATTTGTGTGGCTCAATGCAATGAGACTACAGGTTAGGTTGCTCTGCAGATAAGCGCAAATTAATGAAATCACACAGAAACGTGGCTAATGTAGTACAGAGAGAAAATTTTAAAAAGATGGGGTTATTGACTGCCCTTGTGAGAGCACATATGAAGTATTCGGATAACTTACTTTTTCTGTTTCATGTTTTTTGTTTTATCTTCGATGTAATTAGGCGCGCGAGAGGGAGCAGATAGCGCCGGAGCTGAGATTAGTGACGGAAATCGAACCAAAAGAAGTGAGTTTTGAGGAGGGTTTTGAAGGAGAGGGAGGGGACTTGGCACACAGGAAGAGGAAGCTGAGGAAAAAGCATGGATTTGCGATTGGGACAGAGGAAAAAAAGAAGATGTGACAGGAGACAATGTGAGCCAAGATGTAGGTGGGGCAGACTGTTTAGAATTGAAAGGTGAGGATAAGGAATCCAGTCCTGATATGGAATCAGCCAGTTAATAGATTGATGATGATTTATGTATGTGTATGTATGAATGCATGGGAGTTGGGAGTTGTGATGTGTCAGGAGAGGAAAAGCAGCTGAATCTTTAGTACAGTAGAGAAGCAAAAAGGTGGTGCTTGTAGGCAGGTGAAGGGAGAACAATGTGTGTGTGAATTCTGCCATTGGTGCAAGGGTGGATTTTAGAAATCATTCTGGTTTTGCCTTCCTACTGTTGCAGGTTTAAGGGTTATGCAAAGGAATGTTTTAAAATACAAGTGTTTTAGCTAATTGATCTGTAAGGCTGTTGGGTAATTTCTACTAATGTATTTCTTGATCGTGCAATTTCCTGTGCTTTGATTTAGTGAATCTAATTAGCATAACAACAGTTTTCCTCAGTAGTGGTAATGTTTTGTCTTGTACCTACAGTGTCCCATTACTTTTCTCCTGTCAATTTTCTCAGCTTACTTGAAAGATGAATTTTAGTAACAATAAAAAAGGAATACACTTTTATTTTCAAAATTATATATGTAAATGAGAAACTCACTGGGGTGAGATACTGTGGGAAGTGGGAAATTAGGATCAATAGTGCATAGTAACTGATGCAGAGATATGAAACCACAGCCAATAGAGGGACAATGTCAGCACACAAGGGAGAAGTAGGGAAAACTTAAAGGAGGATTTTGCTTTTACTTTATTCATTTCTAATTTGTTCATATTTGGACCCTTGGCTTTGTGTATACTGAATGCTCTGGGGAAACGTCGTGCTATTAAAGATTTACGACTGGTTTCTGTGATATCTATGATATTTAGTGTCCTGGTGCTATGGCTGACAGAGTAGATATCTTACAGTGACTCTGAGACAGGCTTCAGAATTCATTGTGCTTTAGGCTTCCATTGTTATTCTCCCACTTGTTTTCTTAAATTTTTCTATAGGAAAAGGCACAAACATACCTTTTTGAAGGAGGAGTTCCTGTGCTGTTCAAAAGAAATATAGTCATAGTGTCTTAGATGCTAAATAGTTCTTATACATCAGGAACTGTGCAGCTGAGCAGCCAATCAGAAGGAGTTAAAGGTTAAAAAGCAGGAATTAACTGTGTCACTTCAGTGCCTGTATGTTTACTCTGGAGCCAAAATAAAAATGGACCCACAGACCAATCCAGAATCACAATTCTTGAGGTTGGAATGGATTTTTTGAGATAATCTTGTCTACCCTTCAACCTTGCTCAACATTCTCTTCACTGAGTTTAAATTTACATGTTGATCTAGGATAAAAGGTATAACTACCACCATAATTAATGTCTCTCTGCTGTGGCTTCTGAATGTTTAACCTTTGTTTGCTTCATTGTTATGTGTCCTGCTACCTGTTGTAAGCTCCATGTCTTAAGGAAAGTATCCAAACAATGAAATAAAAAGCAAACAAAAAACCTGTTCGTGTTGCACCGGAACAGTTATCATTAGAACAGGATACTTGGTTCAGTGTAGTCCTTGAAGCTTGATATTTTCTGAAAGCTTCTGATTTCAGGGTGCTTAGCTTCACTGAAAATTAAAATGCTGTTTAGAAGCTGTTTTGATGCAGGCTGCGCTTCCTTTGCTTCCCATTTTTATCATAAGATCCAACCTCCAGCCATGTTACTGATCCTCTTCATCCCTTGGCCAGGGTACAGTGTAAGACTTCTACTCTCAGGTCTCCTAACTCCTCACCAGCACAAATAGCTCAATCCTTTTTTTGTCCTGCTGGATGGGCAAGGCTCTGGATGGACTGGAGCTAATGTGTGTGCTCGTTTTGGCTGGCCAAAAAAGAGGTATGTGTGTTTTTGATTGACTATGCAGCTGGCAGTTAGACACGCTGTTTGTGGCTGGCATGTCACCAAATGGCTTTGGTAGTTGCCTGTTGTGTAAGCATTGCCAAAGCGCTTCCAAACTTCGCTGCTGCTAGCTAGATGTGAGTGTATGCATCTTCATTTACAGTTTGGACATGGAACACTTTTATCTTAGAAGAATCAAAACTGCTGGTGTTTCTAAGTACATAGCTTGATGTGAAGTAGAAGCATAACCTATGTAAAGCAGTGATTTAAAAGTATTGAGCTATGGAAGAGGAAAAGCATAATACAAGGAAAAGTAATGCTTTGTATTTTGTGTTATGCTTTCCTTGTACATCAACAAAGGCAGAGAAAACCTCAGTAGAACAGAAATTTTTAAGACGTACAGTACTTAACAAGTGGGAAAAAGTTGCACTGAAACAAGATGTATAAAATAAAGATATTTTAGGTACCTCGTGTGGTAATATACCAAGAAGGAAACAGCTCAGAGTAAAATCTATTTTGTCTACAGCTGGGGGGGGGTGGCAATTACTATTTGTTAAGCAGTCATGTGAGACTAGACAAAGAATAGTCTTTATCATACTTTTTTAATGCAGTAGTACAAATCTGCAAAAACTCTCGTAGCCAAATTGCCATGTAGTAAATTAATTATTGCTCAAAACACTCAATGCTTAATTCTTACTGGTGGAGGATAAACATTGCTATTGTTTTTTATATCACATATAACTTATCCATGGAAAAAAATCTGTACCTTGATGTTATAGGAAATTTTAAAAAAAACTTCAGTGAAAAGGATCAAGTTAAAATTTTTTGCAGTCAGATTGATCCCTGACACTCAGGAGACATAATGCATGAGTCTGGTTGCTCCAAACTAGTGGAAAGAGTTTAGATCAATCTTGGAAGTATTTGGGCACCCTATAAGTCAATGGACAGAAATTGGCCTTGTCTACATGCCAAAAAGTAGATTAATTTGGGCGGTATGATCTGATTTTTTTACTCCTCAGATGTTTCTGTATGGTCAAATAGGCCATGGTACAAAATGGCACTTTTATTACTTTAAATGTGCATTGTGAAATTCAGTCATCTTATAGAGCACTTAATTAAAATTATTGAATGAAACTTGTAATATGTAATACAAAAAGAGTGTTATCTGTACTTACTCTAGAAACAAGATATAATTGCTTAAGCGTTATCCCTGCTTTATCGATTTTAATTCAGGAAGAACTTTGCCCAACTTTGCAGCTGGCTGGACCATTCTTTGAGTTGATTGTAGTTTTGAATAATAGTTAAATTTGAGCAACAATGGAATTGGTGTATTTCACAGCCAGAAGGGTAAGAAACAAGTCAGTGTTCTGGATTTGGGAGCTCCTGGGTTTCTATAGCGATGATGCATACAATAGGTAGCAGGGAATGTGTGCAGCCAGAATATTACACTGTTTTTTTTGAAGATGTTTTCTTTTTGCTTTTTATCCATGTGGCATACTGATAATGCTTCAAGTTTTAGGCAATTTGGGAAACTCATTTTACCACTTTTTGAGTAGTAGCCATAAAAATAAATTCAACTGCTGTTGAACATTTCTAGATGAAGTTTCACTGGGTTTATAAGTATTTTCTGTTTGAGTCTCCAGCACTTTTTTAATACTTACTTACCATTTTTTCCTTTTTGGAGGACTGGATAGCTTTGGTCAAAGCTGCTGCTGCAGCAGCAGCCAAGAACAAAGCAGGAAGTAAACCTAGAACCAGCGCAAACAGCAATAAAGATAAAGAGGACAGAAAATGGCTAAAAGTTCCTTCAAAAAAGGAAGAAACATCAACCTCTACAATCATGCAGGAAGTCCAAAAAAAGGAAGAGGAGCCTACATCTAGTGACACATTTGGTAAAAACAAATTCTGTAAAGGAGAAAATAGGTTCTTTTGTAATGCTGAAGTAGAATACTTTGTTAATTTTGCAATTAAGTAATAGCTGGTATTCCTAGAGGAAGAGGTCTCATTTGCTATTATAATAACTTTGATACATGACATTAATCAGTTCAGAAACAATTTTTTATCAGATTAATCAGTTAAGTCAGCATTTATTTCTTGTACAAAACTTCTAACAAGAGTCAAACATATATTTTTTTTTCAACGACTTCATTGTATGCTTTGGTTCATATTCCTGCATCATCTGTTATCTGTGAGATGATCCCTGATCTTGTTATAAGAAAAAAAAATAAAAAAATCAGTATGGATGATATATTCATATTCAGGGATGTTTTAAACTATTTCTGGGTTTATAAGAATTTGTTAATTTTAATAGTCTTTAATACTGATTTCTCATAATATTGAGTAAAAATTTATAAATTTTGGAGTAATTGCATCTAATACTTCAGTGTGTAATATTAAATTTTCAGAATGTGTCATTTTCATCTTCAATAGAATTTGAAAGTTTCTTTACTGCAGTATTCTAATAACAGTTCTAGAATAATTAAATATTTTGGGTAGTGTTATGTATTCATGAAATGTGAGTTTATTAGATTTCTCTTCTGTTTAAAAGTAGGATTTCCTGTAGTGGATGTTCCAAAGATGACCTTTGTGCAGGCAGAGAGCACATTATCACACAAGAGGAAAAGTAATCTAGGCAACTCATTTCAGGCAAAGAGAGCTCGTCTTAACAAGATCACTGGTAAAGTACTCTTTTGTTGATAACGATTTTTCTGTTTAATATAGTGCAATATACATGCTTATATGTAAGGTACTAATGTAGATTGATTAAAAGCAGATTCATGAGGCAGATACTCACTACAGTCTTTTACTATTTTGGTACTTTTAAAGGAGTCTATAAATGGTAATATAATGTGCCTTGTTCATAAATTTGGAGAGTGGTCTCAGATATGTCTTGGTCTTTTAGATTTTTAGGAAGATAGCCATCCTGAACTGATCAATTTATTGAGTACTTTTTAACTCCAGCTGCACAATTTTCCCCATTATCAGGTGAATTTGGGGTTTGTACACTTCTTAACATGGTCATGAGTTACATACTACCACCACTAATAAATAAAAGCTTTTGTTAGCTGTGGAATAACTAAGTAGTTTGTCATAAAGTAAAACTATTGCTGACAAGAGTTTACAGTATGTCACTTAAAAGTATGCAAGCCCAGCTACAAATAGAAGCAGTGAAGATATGAAATTTTTTTTCAGTGTCTACGCATTCATTCCTTACACTTAACTACACAAAGGTATTAATGGAAAACAAGTATATAGCTATAGAATACATCTTATACAATAGGAAATAGAATAATAGATATTTGGTCTTATCTTTAAAAGCTGAAAAAAAAATTATTCGAAAAGTTAATAGAAGTTTGCTTAATGGTAAAAAAAAAAATTTCAGTTTGGATCCCTCCTCCCCCATGCCTCTTAATAAGCAAATTGTGTTGCCATCAGTGATCCTGTCAGTATTTAGAATCAGGTAATATGTTTGTACCTGTGCTGGGAAAATATCAGATGCATTTAAAAAGCTGGGTGGAAAGAAGGTGTGAAGTCTTCCCTCTTAACAGTGGGGCCCTTGGGCAGACGGTATGATAGAAATGCATTCCATTCACTATTCTAGTAATTAATATTTTGTGAGAAGTCTGGCAAACTTTTCTATGCTACAGGTGAGAGGGGTATTGTGGTGGGTTTTTTTTTTTTTTTTTTTTGGTAATAGAAAGGGTATGGGCATTCATAAAAAAATCTTACTTGTTTCTTCTGTAAGATAAATACAAACTGCATGATGAGTTTTTATCAGACTTGTTTTGGCTGCTCCAGCCTTTTCATAGGTGAGCAGTGGAGGATGTTTGTTCCATTTTCTTATGAGTGTGGTTCTGTTTCAGTCTCTCATTCAGTACTTGAATCTAAAGGAGAAACTAAATGAAATGGGCCAGTATAAAACATGGTATTGAAGGAAGCAGTCTTTAGGAAAACATATATCTGTGTCCAGGATTTTCTTTCCTGGAAGGCTTCTTATTTGGTACCAAGTTTAGTTAACAAATGTCACTTCTACTCTCCTTTGTCCATAGTGCATACACCCTCAGTTAAGTTCCAATTTAATTGCTGCCATGAGCAGTAGAAGTATAAGATAGATAGATAGATATACATACACACATACACACTAGTGATACATACAGGGCTTACAGAGCCCTGTTAATTTTTTTCTAATAGTAGTTAGTAGCAGAAGATACCTAAACCAGCTGAAAAACCTGTAGCTCTAGAAATTATGTTTTTCTGTGTTTGTGGATAGATTCTTCTTTCCTGAGGGCCTTTATGAGAATAATAGCAGTTGGACAGGCTCATATAGACTGAACTGAATAATCAGAAAACATAATATTGCAGCTACTGACTTCGTTACCATTCAAAACCAGTATGTCTCTGTCTTCATGAAAGCGTACTCCACTAGCAGAGAATGTTACCTTTCAGTGAAACTGAATTAATCCTTTAATTACAAGGTGAAATTTGTCATGCTTGGTAGTTACTTTGTGTAGCTGTTCTCAAATTAACACACTTCTGTAACTCCTACTGTAGTAGGGTTTTTTTATTGATGCATATAATGGAGTATTTTGAACGTGTAACTGCTGATGATCAAACTTTCTGTTGCTACATGCTTATTTCTTATGCTTGAGATGCTTCTAAATTGTCACTTTTGTCCCCAGTGTGAGCTTTTAAATCTGAAGAGAGGTTGGGAATCATGCTGGTGGAATCATAAAGCATTGTAGCTATTAGGAAAACATGAATTTACCAAGTGTCTTCTGGCTGTATTGGGGAAATAGAGCAAATAATGTGGTTCTAGGAGGCTGTCTAAAGAGAACTGTTCTCTGGATTTCAATTCAGCATTCAGTATTTGTTACAGATTGTCTGCCACAAGGGCCACAGCTGCATCTGGTGTTATTTGCTCACCATTTAACAAAATGAAGTTGCTTCCTTTGCCCCTTACTCTTCTGCTACTGCCATTGGGGGAAATTACATTTCCTGAATGTGAAGGATGTCTCCTGCTGAGCATGTATTAATGTCTTCTTCCAGTTAGTTTTTGCCTCTGGAATGCTTGCTTCCATATCTCCCGCTGTAGTATTGATTCCTAAAAGAATATAGGCAATGTTGGCAGCAAGCTTACAGAACAAAACACTTCTGGTTCTCTATGCACCCCATCCTTTTAATTTATTATGTGCTATTACTGACAAAGGATGGTGAACAACCTGCAGTCCTGCTGCTGTAGTAACTTGTGGAGCTGTTTTGTCTTTCTGCAGGCATGATGATTGGTTAGAAAGATACTTAATGGGGTAGAGAAGAAGGAAATAAGAAGGGTTATATACTCACAGGTCTGACAGTCTATGTTCATTTTGTGACTTTACTTTCTGAGCATCTAGCTAGAAGGAAAAAACATAGAATCGTAGAAGGGTTTGGGTTGGAAGGGACCTTAAATATCACCTAGTTCCAACCTTCCACCAGCCCAGGTTGCTGAAAGCCCCGTCCAACCTGGCCTTGAACACTGCCAGGGAGGGGGCAGCCACAGCTTCTCTGGGTAAGCTGTGGTTTGTGGAACCACAAAACCTGCCTTATAGGCTATAGCTTGTTTGATATTTAAAACTCCACTTAATTTTGAAAACTATTTTTTTTTTAATTTTAGATGCATGATTGTCGATATAAAGAACACTGTTAACTTTGCAACTTGATATAAACAAGATAATCTGAGTGGCTAATGTTTATTTAGGTCCATGAAACCTAAATCTTTTATGAAGCCTAATGCAGAATTAAAATCTTACATGATAATTTTATTTCTATTAATATAATAGGTCTAAGTAAGTTTCTGCTTTTCCGTTAACCTGTTTATTTATAAAATCAATTAGTTTACACTTCTTGTTATGGACATAGTGTTCTGAAAAAGTTTATTTAAAACGTAACTACTTTTCAGTAAACTGAAGCATAATTTACTCTAACAAAAAGAGTAAATGAAGAAAAGCACCTAGTAGTATTTATTGTGTAGAGCTGAAATGTGATAGTTTTCTAGCAAAATACCACACAGTTTTTTGTGTGCCTGTTTTTGCCTTTTTTTAATGTCCTGAAACACTTCCTGAGAGACCAGGCTTTGTTAATTTATAATTTCTTGGGCATTTTGCACTGTGAATTAATTTTGAGCATATCTAGTTTTTCATAGAATGCAATAGGAATTTCCTGTGGATTAGTCAGCTCAAGTTATTTCTGAGGGCTTAAACTCTCCACCCCCAATACTGATATCTTCTGGGATTATAATAGTAATTTTTATTCAGATTTATGGTTTTCAGGTTTTATCAGTTCTGCTTTGTTTTAGAGTGTAGAACTTTTCTTTCTCTGCATACTTAGGTAATTAAAGTTACTGTGTGATGCAGAACTGAAACTATTGCTATACGCTTAGCCAGCAAAAAGCTTTCTCATGTTTGTTGCCTTGTCTTTTACAGATTTTTTTTTTTTGGTAGTTAGTAGTGATATTGTATATGAGTTCATGAATGAAGTGACATATTTTGAGGTATTTGCTCCCCATATGGTCTTGTTATTGAGGTAATTTGGGAGCTCCACTTCTGAGAATATTGACTTGGAAATTAAATCCCTTGTTCTATTTTGTCTAAAGAAAAGTTTTCATGTGTTAAAGTAGTAGTAATAATTCTGATGGGAATTTCTTAAAGACTAGAAACGGGAGAGAGAGAAAAGGTTTGTAAATAATTTTAATCTCTTAAAATGTACTTAAGTATCGAGGGCTTGGTGTTAAAGCCCAAGCGCTTGGGCTTTAGAAGGATGCTGAGACATTATTTTACAATTGTTAATTTGATTCTCATCTTGTTAGTGGAAATGTCAGAGAGGTATCTCTTGTGAAATGACACCATCGTGGGAATGAATGTCCTTTAACTTGCTGTTTCTTCTAGTTTAAAGTGGTCTGCTTTGTGTGGAGCTGTTTCAGAGGGTTTTATGCTGTAGATACAAGCAGTTAATATTTCTTGTCTCACTGTTTTGCTTTATTTTCCACAAATTCTTGTTGCAAGCCGCTTCTAAGTAAAAATCTCTGCAACTTTTCTCCTAAGGTTTATTGGCATCCAAAGCTGTTGTTGCGGATGGTGCTGAAAAAAAGGAAGGCAACAAAGAAACAGCTCCAGTCCTGGAGCAGGTATGAAATGGTAGAGTTTGATTCTTTTGCAAGGTTCCCACTGGAGTGTGCCATGGAGATGTAGTACCTACAACATAAAAATTTGCCCCTTCAGATTTAACAGGGAACTGAAAATTGATCTTATGTTTACATTTCTGGCAGAGCCAGAAATATGGAATTTTATTGTCTCTAAATAGTGTTGACTTGAATTTCAGTAATGAGCTTTTGTGTTAGAAAACTAACAGAAAACAAAGGAAAATGAAGTCTCCATGCAACAAATATGAGGAGACCAGTGTCCCAAGGTCCAGTTTTATAGCTGGAACCATGACCGTGACTGGCTTAGGAAAAGGCCCTTACACAAATTTAATTTGTGTTTGAAACAGGGTTTTTGACATCACTTAGAACTTCTTTTAAAAGAAGTTTCTTTTATATTGTAAGAATTTGGTGTTGTAGGCTTGTACGTGTTTTATGAACCGCTCAATGAGCCATACATTTTGCAAGGGTGTGTATTTTAATAAATACAAAAAAGAAACTTTTAAATAATGTTAAGGGTCTGATTTTTAAACCTGCATGTTTGCAGGATCTGAAGGCTGCCATTTTATCTTTGGCTTATTCCACTGTGTTCAGGCATTGCTTGACTCCGAGTTGTGCATTATCTTGCATATTAAAAGGGCTGAATGCCTAAGCATGGTAAAGCAAGCTAAGGATGAACAGTAGTCTTGATTCAGGACATCTGTTTTCAAATGACTTAAATCAGAGCCTTAATGTAGTTTTAATACAGCTTTTTTGTATTCATTTTCATTCTTCTTTAACAGCAGCATTTGAATAAAATAGCCTTGCTGCCCCCAATTCTTAAAAGAGCACTTCTGTTCTCAAGCCCCGGCACACTCTACAAACAGTCCCTACCCCAAACTTTATTTGATATTTTGGTTGTACTGGTTCTTTAGAGCTGATATATAATTGCATTGCTGTGGTTTTTCCATTGACACTGCATTGGATGCGAGTTTTGTCAATGGAACATGATTTTCTGTTTTTAATGCTGTCATGGTAACGGCAGACTGAGCCACTATGGTGTCAATGCATTGACCGATATTTTGCATAAAGGTTTACAATGTATTGACATGACATTCCATTTCTCAAATTTTTGCATATTAAAGATGCTATGATTTTATTGCTACTGTGTGTGATATTTTCAATGTGCAAAAAACTGTGAAATGGCTTACAGCATGCTGTTTTTGGAAGAATCATTACAATGTAAATCTTATCATGCAGAATCCCATTATGGTGAATGGGACTTTGTGGTTTACATAGACTGTGTATGCAACAGTATAAACTACAGTGCATATTTACTAAAAACTTTTTGTTACTTCTTAGACTTAGTAACTCGGCTGCTTCTGTTTTATTGATTAGATATAAAAAAAAAAAGATGTCTCTGTCATTGTTTACATGCTAATGGTCTGAAAAACCTCATTTTTTGAAATACTAGTTAAGCTCCTTTAAAGAGGCATCTAAAATCCCAAATTGTTCTATTCCTTTGCTTCTAACTAAAACCAGAAACCTCACAAACATTTAAATGATCAGCTGTGGGGAGGAAAATTTTTGAGCTTAAAGCTTTTTTCCACCAAGTTCCTGCCCAAACTCAAATTAAAATGGCCGAGTTGTAAAACTCCCCCAAAGCTTTTCCAATAGCAAAGCTGACACTCCTTAGAGGTTTTGTCTGCTACTGCTATAAATTGAATGGATAAAATATCTTGTAGGTTTTTTTAATAATGTAATACAGAACCTGGTAGAAGTATTCAGGCCAATAGCCGAAAACTGACTTTGTTGATGGAAGTTTATTTTATTTATATTTATATATTTTTAGTTTACAGTTGTCTTAAACCCAAAACCTCAAAGGATTAGTTGCACATACAGTAGTTTATTTAACTGTATTAGGGTATGTCATGTTATATTTCCTTTTGACCAAGACCTGATTAGATGAATAACATTAATTCATTGAGGTTTTTAATGTTAATTTGTCCTGTTAAGAGGTTAAGCACCTTATCAAAATATTAATTTAATTTTTTTAATCTTGTTTAAATAACTTTGTAATTTGAAAGTAATGGATGCTGTAGTAATGTCTTTCACATCTGTGAAGATGAACAATAAAATTGTTTATTTACAAGTTACGACTCTAATTAATTTCTGGTAATACCTCTCATAACCAGCATAGGTATACTCTACAGTTCATGGAATATTTTGTTTAAATGAATAAACTGCACTTAGTACATGTGTAATTGAGTTATTCAAGGTAGAACTGGTGTCTGCTGAGTGGGATGTTTTGCACCGGATCTTTACATGATACTTCCAGCAAGCTATTCATGTAGCATTCAGGGGTGCCCTTTTACAAACACAGAATGTGCACTTGTGTTTTTTTGTTTTTCTTTTTTTTTTCCTCTCTTGGAACATGAAAAGTTCCAGTGGAAAATAAAATTATGATTTATAACAAAACCCCAAAATACCCTCAAATCATCAGAGATGTGACATTTTTAGTTTGGATAAAGTGGTGCGCACATTCTAGAAATAGCTTTTGACTTTGTTAGTTATGATTTTATTAGATGGTACTATGCTGTGTGATGTAACTGGGGCAAGAAAGGGGACAGGTTTAAGAAATAATGTTCATATATTGTAGTTTGCCATTGTTGGGCAAGTTGTAACACATGCACAGTTTATTCAGTAAAGTAGGAAGAACTTCCAGTTAAAAATCTAAAATGCTGATGTCTGTCAATGCATGCTAATTGTCTAAAAATAATACTTCAGTATGTGTGTTAAGAAGGATGAAAATTGATGAAATTGGAAAGCTGCATTATATGTTGATTTTTTTTTTTTTTTTCTTCAGAAACTGTTTTAACTCTATCTGCTCATTTTTCCCCAACAGTTAGCAATCTATTTAACCCTGTGGTGCTAGAAGTTGTGATTTCTTCATGTGTTTGCACAAACATATAATGTGGTGAAATCCAGACTCCCAGCACTGAAAGGGGTTGTGTGAGAGTGTGTTCAGCATTTGGAAACTTTATTTTTTTCAGACATTCCTTAAAGGAGCATTATCAACTTTTTCAGGTTCTTACCTAAAAATGAAATTTGTGTTAAAGTTTTCCTGAGGAAATCTTTAAACTCTTTTTTTGCTATGGTCAGGGAAATGACTGTGAAGAAAAAATTTTGGCAACTTTTTTTAGAACTGCAGTCATTCTGAGCAAGGATTGCCTGCTCATTGCAGTGCAAAAGCCTGTCAGAGTTCAACAAGTGTCTGGACGATGATCTTAGTCATGTGGTTTGATTGCTGTTCCTCACAGGACTGCCTAATGAGTTGGCTTCAGTAATCCTTATGGGTCCATTCCAACTTGAGATAGGCTAGGATTGTACATCTGTGTACATATTTTAGCTTGTAACAAGTGTCCTCCAAGTTATACTCTGAGACAGCAGTGACAGTCCTGGTCTACTGAAGATGAAAGAGACAGAAAATAAGACTTTGGTGAATTTTTAAAATGGGAATAGAGTTAAAATGTTTTGGTTTGGGGCTTTCTACAGGTATTTCAAATAGTAAGAAATGAGGGTGTTCTGAAAACTGAAAATGATTAATAGTGCTCCTTTAAAGAAAAAGTTTAATATGATTCATTTAAATAGTTTTAATTTGTACTGAAAATAATGTTGCTTTAAAATGTGTTTTGAATACTAAAATTGCTTTTAAAAAGATCAAAATAGAATACAAGAACTACAGCGAAGAAACTGAAATAAAAGTATCAATTTTTTATTATTTATTCAGGAGATTTCACCTAAACCACAAAGTCAGAAAAAAAATGAAGCTGATATTAGCAGTTCTGCCAACATTCAGAAACCTGCACTGTTATCCTCAACTTTGTCTTCAGGAAAGGCTCGCAGCAAGAAATGCAAACAAGAATCTGGAGATTCTTCTGGGTGTATAAAGCCCCCTAAATCACCACTTTCCCCAGAATTAATACAAGTCGAGGATTTGACGCTGGTCTCTCAGCTTCCTTCTTCTGTGATAAATAAAACTAGTGAGCACAGACATTTTAAAAAAAATACCGTAATTACTTACAAGAGATATACAGAAATTTTTTTTGGTTGTAAATGGCTATTGCTTTTAAAAATGAATCTGCTTTAAATAAAAGGTCCAAGCGGGAGAATTAGAGGTAGCTCAGTATTTTAAAAGTCAAGTTGCATAATAAGGCATATGAATTACTCTACTGGAAATAATACATTTAAATAATACATTTATATTTATAGAGTCATGGCTTTTAATGGTTGACTTTCCCTCCAGCTTAAATCTCCATGTTAGTACTACCAGGGATACAGGAAAAATCAAACCTCTCTTCTGAAGGGGCCTGATTCATTAAAAAGAAAAGATGTACACCTTGGTTGTGGACCTTACCTTCTCTGAGAAATTCCGCCTTCAGCAGGCTGATGCGCTGTACCTGTTGGCTGTGGCATTCTTCACCTTATGTGATATTTCGTCCAAATATGATGTGAAAGAGAAGATGGGTTCAAGATCTGTGGTGGGGAAATACAAAAAAATCGTGTTTCTTTGTCTCAGAAAAATACTATAGATGTTCAGCTTCTTAAAATGTAACTGATTTGCAAAGGACTAAAATATCGATTATCAGAAGAACAGGGAAAGGCTTATGCTGCATCCTTGAATATGCTATTTTTTATGAATATTAAAATATTTCTACAATTTTTTTGAGACTACATTAGGTTCTTAGTGTTGCTTAGGTTCATGCTCTTTGTTGTCTGAAGAACATTAAGTGATGAAGCCAAGAGTTAAAATAAATGTGGGTGCCAGTAAGTCAAAAGCTACATTTTTGTTTCACCTTTAGAGTAGTGGTTGAGGATGGAAGACTAAACCTGCATTGCGTGTTCCTTTTAACCTTGCTTTGATACTTTCCCTTGGGAGATAAGTTTCTTTTAATCTTTTCTCACAGATAACTTTAAATGAATGGGAGAGGGAGGTTTGCAAATTCAGCTGTCTGTATTTATTCAGGTCACATCGGTATAAATTGTATTTTGTCCCTACAAAATACTAGCTGTCATCCATATTATAATACACTTTCCCTCCCCTAAACTAATGGTAAGTAGTTTTCCTTGAGCATGTTTGTATTATGGATTAAGTCAGACTTTTCTGTAGCAACATTTTAAAAATTAGCTAATTTAGAAGTTGGTTACTTAATAGCTTAGGTATTGTTAGTGCTGTCTTTTAATCTTTGGCTTCTGAATCTTTACCACCTCTAATGGAAATTTCAGTTTGATGTCTTTATTTTTAAATCTGTACATATTTTACTCCAAAAACTACTTCAGGAGAGAACAGTGATTTACAGTGTAATAGTGACTTAAATGTTTTTCTAAGGCAAAAGTTTGTGAAGCTAGGCAAAAATGGAGAGTTGTAGGGGAGTCTAGGTTTTTTGTTTTTAATGAATCAGGCCTATATTAACCTATATCAATCCTCCCCCCCTTTTTATTTTAAATAGAAAGTTCTTGAGCCTTCTTACTGTGCCATGCATTGGCAGTGTGCATTTGAAATACAGCTGGGGTATTGATATCAGGTTAGCAGAAGACAGGAGGTGGGATATTAAAATAATCACTGCTTTTGATTTTTTTAAAGTTGTATGTTAACACTATCCATTACTTTTTAGATCTTTAACTGTGATCTTTTGTTCTGTTTACTGTTAAATCCTATTGCCCCCTTCCATTATAAGTAGCCTACTCTCCTGGGTTATATGGGGTTTGTTTATTGTAAATACACTGTTTGCCTAAAACAGCCTTTGTCAGCGGGGAAGTAGGTGCCCTAATAATGTATAATAAGCAAAAAGCAGAATCATGTCTTGAGCATAACTTTTTTTTTTCTCCTGGTAGTCACAGTTTTTAATTACTTTTACCAGTTCTGCTGTGATTACCAGCTTTGCAAATAAGAGCTATTTAAAGCACTCCCCATCTTTAGATCTCAAATACTGCGGTAAGATTATGGTATATCTCTCTGCTTCATGAACATTGAAAGATCTCTTTTTAGGTCCATCACAGCCAGTGAATTCCCCTAGATCCTACAAACATAGCCAACGGAGAAGAAGATCACAGCGTTTAGCCACTTGCTCCTTGCCTGATGATTCTGTAGAAAAAGTTTCTTCTCCCTCTTCAGTTACTGATGGAAAAGTGTTCTCCATCAGTGGTCAAAACCAACAGTCATCAAAATTGGAGGGTAATGTATCTTAATCTAATAAAGAACTGCCCAAGAGAATGAATCATAAAAATTAGACCTTTCACCGTTTTCATCTAATGGATATTTTGACTTACTGTAGATAAAGCTGTATGCTGTTCCTATGTTTTGTAGTGCTGCAATCCAAACTGTTGTTTGTTGGACCTATGTATCTTTTTTTAATATTACATTTTTTCTTTTATGTAGTACCTGATGTTGCTCATATGTCACTTGAGAAGCGTGGACCATGTCTCCCTCTTGATTTAAGCCGTAGTTCGGAAGTTACAGCACCATTATCCACAGAATCCACTTTCCGTAATGAATATCCCAGTAAAGACAAGGAAGATATTCAGATGATTACATATCTTTCTTCCAAAGCAGTAACTGATGGAAGAGTAGCTACAACAGCGTCAGGTAAAGAGATTCAGTATACAACCAGTTAGGTTTATAGTTGCAGGGTTAAAATGTATGTATATTCATTCACACAGAAAGAGGGGATACTTTTTTTGTTTCTTCCCCCCCCCGCCCTTTCTGCACACTCACACACCTGCCGCTCTTTCTGGGGTCCATTCATCTGCATATTTGTCTTCCACTGGCTTTGAGCTGCATTAGCACTTCTTCTAACACACTTTAATGAGGATCTGAGTGTGGAATATAAAAAGCAGTATTTATTTCAAAAATATATTGTTAAAACTTGTAAAAATAATTTGAGGTTGTTTACTAACATACTAATATATACTAAATCTAGATGTACTAATTTATCTTGTGACTTCAGCTTTAAAACTCAGTGGTGTTTTCATAGACAGTCAGCATTCCTCTACCTTTGCTTCTGTGTGCAGTGGAAATTTTGTCATTTGTTTGCTACGAAATGTTACTTGAAAATACTTCTGAAAAATCCTCTAAAACTTCTATAGACTCAGTTCACCCTCACAAAGTTAGCACAGAGCCCAGTACTGGAACTCTGTGCTGCCTCTCACTTTGTAGCAGTTGCTGGCTACTGTGGTTTAAGGGAATCACTTGGATAGAGGCAGTTAAGAGATTTGGGGAATGGTTTACATAGTGATTTGCACATCCTGTAAGTGTTGGGTTTTTTCATCCAGTGTACAGTAGGTGTCCATACGCTTTTTTCATAAGTTTCTTATGTGGATGAGTATTGTACCTTTTTTAATTGGCTTCCAAGAAAGAATTCTCTCTCAAGCCTTTTTTTTTTTTTTTCTTAAATGAGAAAATAAGAGGAGGAAAAAATAAAATTACTGTATTTGCTGGGAAAGTTTTTGGTAAATGTTATCAATAGTAACAGGACAATGTGACCTAAAGTATAGAATTATGGCACTCAAACTATAATTAGTCTTGTTTGGGGGTTGGGAAATAACTGCATTAAGATGTTGTTATAGCTAAAGTGCTTAATAGGTCAGTGAGCCATTTTGTTTAGTATGTACAGCCGCCTTCTTGGGTTTCTGCCCACACATGCTCCCACTGAAAGTATAAGATGATTGCTTCATCGAGTTGTAGCATGGCTATTTAACCTGATGTAGCAAAAGCTGCGTAGGATTCTTGGATCAATATTGCATTGTTTCAAATAGATGATTATAATTATCCTTTCTCTCTCAAAACAATAAATCTATTAATCTCTTAAACTAATTTGTCAAAATAAGGACTATGGGAATTTCTAATGAGCTGCCACTTAAGCTTTTAAAAATATTAGTTAGCTTCTCAAGTGAAACCACGTGACAGTCTTCGTTTGCCTTTAATTATATTGCATAGCAGTAGAACTCCAGATTCCTGGGAAAATTCTGTAAAAGTCCTTTTACCTCATGTCTTCTGCCACTGAGAGGTACTTTTGGGAGTTGTAAATTTGCCCACTCAGAGAACAAGATCATAAAAGAAACTGACAGCTTCCAACTACCATCTGTTTCATGCTTATTAGAACTCACTTTAGTTACTAGGATTTTAACTTCTGGCTTTTCTGATACACTTTCTGGATCATTTAATGTGTAGTTGGTAATGCTGATCGGTATTTTTCTTGCCTGCTTCCGTCATGGAACTGGCTTGGAGTCTGAGTGAGCTTCTAGACCCAGCATCCATGAGTATACTTCTACCTGTTTGTTTGTTGAGCTGGGTCTTGGCCACAGCTGAGTCTAGTTAAAGAAATAACATTTCATTTATAGCCACCTTTATGACTCAAAAATATTTGACATGTACACACACTTTATGTCAGGAGAAACCATTCCCTGACAAATTTATCTGGTATTACTACTTGTGTCCAGAATGGGAAGACGGAAGCACTTGCAGCCTATGCCAGACGATAGTTTATACTGTATTTGAAGCTTAATGGAGCTTTTTTTTTGACCTACATAATTTTACGACTCATAAGCTCTCAAGGTACTGATTTGCCAGCTCCCTTTTTGTCTTCTGGGCTTTTGCCTTCCAGGCAGACCTATGTTTTGTTCCTAATTCTTATGTATTACAGTTTTTCTCCATGTAATAGAACTCTCTGCCTTGAGCAGTATAAGATGTGTGGACTGAAAGACTAATCTAAGCAGTTTGGTATCTAATTTGGAGATAGATTTCTTGGGAGGTTTTGGAGCTGGCTGCTTCTGTTAGTAGTATCTCTAGGACTCTTAACTGAAGTCTTTACATCTTTTGGATTCATCTCAGGCTTCTAACTCTGAAACTCATTTGTCTTTGATCTTTCTCATACTCTTCTTAGAAAAAAAAAAAAAAAGTAGGTTTTTAAGTTCAGGTTTGAAACCTCTGAAGATACCCTACATTGTTGAAAAATATTTTGTTTGTTCTCTGCTTTAGGAGGCGTCTTTATACTTTTGAAAATAGTACAGGTTCTCCAGTCATTTTACTTAAGCACACATAACTATACCAAATTACTGTTTGCTTCAGGAGACTGAAAAGAATCCACACTATCACCAAGTTTTCTTTTCTAATTAACCTTTTTAAACAATGGCAGTCTAATACATAAAGGAGGGATGCCCAAAGCCTTCCTTTCTCATTCCTGTCAATGCTTGAAATTATTGAGAAGTTAATTTCCCTTATGCAGGAACATCTGCCAGCCTAAGTGTAATTTGATATATTGCATTGTTTAGTTTATGCATTTGTGACTCTGCAGATTACAATTTGAGAATGCTGGTGTAAAATCCAGACTATTCTGTAATTGTCTGCTTTTTTTAATCTGAAAGAACTATTTTAAATCTATGTCCTTTTAATGATTCATTTGCTGTTTAGATTTTTATGGACATGGTCTGGACAGATCTGGTTCTAGAATTTGCCAACACTGTAATTTGCTAAATTCACTGAAGTTGGACCTGCTGGCTTTGTACTCATTGAATTAAATAACTAGATAGTTTCAGAAATTACAGAAGTAACAGAAGTATTTAGCCTGAAACAGACTATTACAATTGACGACCCTTCCATAAAAGAGATGTACTGGTTTAGATTCAGAGATGCCGTTTGTGGCTTTGAAAGTTTAGACTTCTGTTAGGGACTATCAGTTGAGTCAGCTGAAAAAATTTTGCATTGTTAAAAATTATGCATTTTAATGACCGCTTTGAAAAACACCAGGTTAGCAACTTTTTAATAAGAGGGGAAGGGATGAGGTGCACTGAAGTGCAGAAACATGAATGGTAACTCATAGTATCAACATGTAGATTCCTTCTCAAAATCATTGCTCAAAATGAACAGTATGTTATTTCATAGAGGCAGCACAAAAGTACTGTGATCAATTCTGTCAGTCCGCAGGCTACATGGAACCACTGTGCACTTTGGTGGATGCCAATACACTACCAGTTAATTACTGAACAGAGGTATTGCTTTGCTGAAACTGGTGCATGGACCTACTTGCGATCACCTGATACTGAACATAACTAAGAATCCTCCTTTTCAGTTGTCAGACTGCTTAAAATGAAGAGAACTGGCCTTTTTGTCAGTTAGCCTTCCATAGGCTAAATATGCAGTCAGTCTAAATAGATGCAAAATGCTGTAGTTTTCCAGTTCTGACTACATGAAGTTCAAATCTTCCTGCAATTATAGTTTTCTTTAAATTTGTCATAATTTTCTTGGTTTCTGTAGCTCTACACCGTTTTTTTTTAGTTTAACTGATACGTATTGAGCAAACATAATTTCAGCAAGTAATCTGGGGTTTAAAATGTAAGTAAATGTAAAATTAAAAAATATTACATTTATTAATGTAACTATTATTTATAATAATAATATAAAATAATATAAATTATTATCATTAGCTGTTATTTCCTGTCCTAGCTCAGTCTAGATGACTTTGCTAGTAAGATAATTAGGTTAACTATATGAAAGAAATTTTCACTTACGCTAAAAGAAAAAACATTGTATACTTTTACATAATTCTATTGATGTTTACTGCAGCAGGAACAATAAATGGCTGACGTACAAAATTTTCAGAAAAACAAGATTAATTTTTTTAATAAACTTGCCATTGTTAGTAGTCACCCTGCTTCTAAGAGGTATCTAGACTCTAGTGCACTAAAGCTCTTGTTACTTTGGAGCTGTTTTACTCCGAACATCTATTGACAGCCAGGTTTGCTCCCTAATTTGAATGTCTGCCATTCTAATCTCTGCCCTGAAGTTCCCAGCTGATTTTTGGGATAGTTAGCTGAAGGCAAGCAAGAAATTTATGTCCTCATCCTTCCTAAAGAGATCATTTTGTGCAGGATCTGATGTTAATCTGTAATATATATTTAAAATGCATTTAGATATAAAATTCATCTTACATGCAGGGAATTCAAACCACGAAATTAATTACAATAGAACCACGAGTTATGCTGGTCATGTTATGATTTAAGTTGTATATTAGTGCATATAATTATATTTCTGTTATTAGGAGAGTTGAAGCATCAGAAGCCATGGAATAGAATATCATGCAACCACATAAGTCACTTCACATTAGTACAATTTATTTTAATTTGCTGAAATAAGTAGTACCACTAAAAGCCCGTTGGCGCTGCTTCACTTAGAGCAGAGCATCCTGTTCTGTGCCTGTGCTTGTACAAGGGAGGCTTGTGTCACCTCACCATGCCAGACCAGGAGAGGTGGCATTGGAAACATGCCCTAAACTGGACCAGAAGGTGCTGTGGTTTGCATTTGGTTTTAATTTGAAATCAGTCTTCTAGTGATAAACTACTGGTTATGTCACTTTTCTAAGATCAATTTTATCAAGTGTAATCTCTAAGCATCTTTATGCTGAGTGTTAACTGCAGACCTCCCACAATTCACTGTGTGGGAGGTAGCTGACTAGACTCTTCAACAGGAATAAAATTGCAATTAGAAGTAACAGTTAAAAATATATGGTAATATTTCCATAAAGGATTTTTTTATAAACTAATATATTTCTTGCTGTATTTGTTACTTGCCCTTCAGAATGTGATTATCTGCTTTGTCTAGTTTTGTGGTTATTTGTAAGGTATAGTGATTGCATAGTTGATAATTAGACTTTGCAATCCTTAACACATTATATAGGATTTGAGAATTTAGGGTTCTCAATCTAGAATTATTTCTGATTAATAACAGTAAAAGCCAAGAATAGCATTGCAGAGTATGCAGGCATAATTTTCTGTTTTCAGGTTACTATAGAAAGGCAGTCTGGAGAGCTCTGCCATTGAGATGGATATTTGTGTGACTGTAGCAGATTTCTGCCCATCATAAATGTTCCCTCAGTTACTTAGTTACTAGCTGATTACTTTGTTAGATGTGCTTGCGTTGAAAATTATTGAGATAGTGAAGTTTGTGTTGTGGCTATCAATATCAGAGCATATTTGAATGTCTGAGGTCAGGATTTCTTATGAATAATGAAGTTTAAATACTAATTCATCTAATATTGAGACAAATTTCTTTTGAGATTGTATGGATGGGGTATTCTCACATCTTTTTATCAAAATGCCCTAACCAAATTATATACATTTGGGTGATCCTTCTGTGTTCTTTTTAGAAATGAGACAAGACGTTGATAGCATGATGATGTGGAAAGTGTCACTTTTTTCTTTTCCTGAGGTGCTAAAATATACTTATTGCTCCACAGATGGCAAAGCAGTTCAGTCCTGTAACGGAGACAAATGTTAATTAGGAAACCCAAGAAAGGAATAATTTGGATAGTGTTTTATGTGGATGATAAGTATCCCAGCAAGCTAAGTCCACTTGAAATACAAACAAAGGCAAGAGCCTCAATAGTAGACCAGTCTTGAAAGGATTATGGTCTTAGGTGAGATGACTGATTTCAGGTAGCCTCAGGTGTGGTCATGTAGTTTACATCTTGTGGTAGTAGTCAGTGTGCAGAACTGAGCAGCTGCTTCTGTCTGCTGCTGGATTGCATAGCATGGTGATGCCTTGCGTCTGCAGCTGGGAACATCTGGCATTTAAAAGTGTGGTGTGGTAGGCGATGTACCACGTTCTATTGCTCATGCTGACCCTGTGGCTTTCTCACTGTGGCATTTTGACTTTTTTCTTGAGAAGGCTGCCTAGGAGCTGGTGTGAGTTTCATGTAACATGTATGTTGTATCCTAGTAAAATTGGGTTTGTCTGTCCAAGCCTGGAATGCCACTGTATGAAGTCAATTGTGAGACATTCTTGTCTCACAGAATCCTTTTACGACTGATGAATTCACTAAATTATCTTAACACTGCTTATTTAAATGCTTTTTGTTGTTTTATTACTGAATATTAAAAAAAAAAGGGGGGGGGGGAGCTCAAAGAAGCTATTCCAGATCAGCTTTGTATTTAGTCTTGTTTAATATCTTGACCACTGGCAGGTATTTTTCAGGACTTTTAAAGTGTTAAACCAAAAAAACCCATAACTGCTATTTTACATGCTGATACTTTTGTTGGGCTCATATGTTGAGAGACACCAAAGGTGACTGGTGTCTTCAAATGTTTACAGCTGGCATTGAAAAACCTGAACCCCTTAGGACTTTACAGAGGTGCATTTTTGTACAGTACGTCTTTGGCATGGTCCTGAAATGTTCTCAATGGTCTGATGAGGATTAGGCTTTCCTAACTACATTTAAATGAAACTTAAATCTCTCACAGTATTAATGAACACAGACAGTTTTGAATTAACTCAATAATATTCTTTTGTAAATAACGTTTATTCTAGTTTGATTATTTGAAAATTCCATTATCCTATTTGATTATAAACATTAGCAATGAAAATTATAATTTCAGTTTAGTTTTGCCATGTTATTTCCTAATTTGCATCAGATAAAGATTAAAAAATAAGTATTTCACTGAATAAACTTTTCTCAATAGTACAAGATAATAATTGTCATTATATGATGCTCAGTTCTGAAAAGCTATGAGTATTTTGCATGTTATTCAAATGTCGATTAAATACACACGTGAAAGACTGATTTAAATGTTACTAAAATCGATTAGAAATGCATTAAGCAGAAGTGTAAATTTTAGTGCTATAAAAATTTTGTGCCAGAGCTTAGTTTCTCTGTTCACATAAAGGAACATAAATGATACCAACAATGTCAGCACCTTCAACACTTCCTGTTGAGGTGGGTTTCTATTACAGTGAAATAAAAAGGAAACAAAAAGGCTTTAAAAGTACCAGCAAAAGTAGGCTTTAAGCAGCACCAGTAGTTTAAAAGTGAGATTAAATTTAAAAACAAAGAAACCTTCTGTGGCATGTATTGCCTTGTATGCAAGACTTAAGACCTAGGCATTCATATGCAGTAATTATATATTAAGTGTGATGTCAAGTATTGGTAATAATATCATTTCAGTGATCTGACCCAGCCAGTGATCTGGCTGCAATCCTTACAGAATGCCTAGTAAATCTGTCTTCTTGTTTTCAGCACCCTCGTCCCATGTACATGCCTTGCATCTGGAAATGCCTTTAACCAATAGTCTAAAGTTACCCAAAGGGAATAGTAAAAAAAAGAGGTCTTCCACATCAGTGAGCTCTGAAGGGACAGAGATACAGTGCTCTGTGCCTATAAAGGAGAAATGTTTTGAGAGTCTGAAGGAGAAAATATTAAAGAACGTGATTGAGAAGGACAAGCATTCAGAAGTTGGTAAACTACAATACTTTTTGTTTCCAGTGCTTTAGACAATAAAAATAATTGTAAAATGACATTAAAAATAATTTTATTGTTTCTATTTTTCTATTATTATATACCATTAGGATTTTTTACAGTCTGATGACTTTTAGAAGAAAGTAGGTCATCAGCCAGACATTGCCCTTATGTCATATTCTTCAATTTGCAGGTGCAGTGCGAATGGAAAGAAAAGGAAAACTGGAAGAGAAAAGTTCTTCAACATATGGTACGTACAGAGCAATAATATTTTTAGGAAAAAGGAAAAATTCTCTTCATACATGATGTCTCTGTAGAGTGTAAAATACTTCCTGGCCCCAGCTGTGCTACTTTTGTGTAGGTCTTAAAAACAGTTTTTACATATGTGACAAGTTTATAGTAGAATAATAATTTTGTAAGAGAAAATGGAAATGCCCATAGCAAGGATTTGGAAGGGTCTGAAATTACCTATAAGAGGCTGGAAAAAAAAGATTTTGTTGTTGTTGTGTCAATGATACTGCCATTATTTCCTTGTACTGACCAGTTTGAGGGGGGAGAAAACATTTTGGTTTGACTAGTAAAGCATTTGTCAGTTCTTGGAAAAAAAAGAGGGCTTTGATTTTTATCCTGTGTTTAAAAAAAGAGATGGTCAAGAATTCATAAATTTTTCTGTTTTTCCAGGAGATAAAGTTGTTTCTGTGTTGCCCAAGAAGATAGTAAGACTCTAATTTGTGTGCAGGAAACAATCCTTAAATACTGTCTTTAAGGACTCAATTTCTTCATTATTTATCTCACTGCTGATTATACAGAAAAATATTATGGATTGAAAATATGGACTGTATTTTGTCTGCTGACAATTAATAGGATAAATAGATTATTTTTTTTTCTGAGACAAAAAAGTATACCAACAGTGGTTAGAAAGGAACTGCAGTGTAAAAAATGTGTCATAAATCTTAGTCAGTATCAGTTTGCTATGAGGATGTTGCTGTGTAGTAGAAGGTGCTGACAGCATCAGCAGAAATTTCCTTCAAGAGACTTTGTGTTTAAGACGATGTTATCTTTTTAGGTTGGAATTTTGCACTTTTGAAAGCTTTTTCTCTTGTCCAAACCTTTTTATTGTAATCTGTAAGTAAAATAGATGTCATAAGCTGTTTAAATACTGTTACTTATTTTGTGTGCTTTGCTATATCTTCTTCTATGATACCTCATTTGGAAATACTTAAAATGGTAAAATGTTACTTGTTGAGAGATTCCTTTGAACTATTCCACCAGCAATTAATAAGAGACATGCCCAAGATATCAAGTAATTAAGTGAATCATTTTGATCTGACAATGCAACTGAAATACTTGATTTTTGAATGTCTTATTTAAGTTAAGCCAAATGAAGCAAGTAATTTGAGATAGTACTGCTGTTTTAAAATGTTTGATTTCTATTTCAGGTAAAAAGAAAGAAAAGGAAAAGGAGAAAAAGGAGAAGAAGGAGAAGGATCATAAGTCAAAACAGAAAAAGAAGAAGAAAAAAAAGAAGAAATCTAAGCAGCATGGTAAGTTTAATTTACTTTATTTAAAATAAATAGAACCACTTAGTGTATTTCTGGCATTAGATATTAAAACTTGTTTCTAAACAATATGAATGTCAAATGCTAGAACTTTCAAAGAAATAAGTTTTAGCCTTTAAATGTTGAAAAGACACATGTCTATGCCCTCATTTTTGTATTTATAGCCTGTCTCCACATGATAGACTGATATTTTTATATTTTTCCTTCCTTCAAAAGATAGGCTCGCTCTTCTCATCTCTTCAAATTCTTCAACTGAAACTCTATATACGCACCTATCTTTTTTCCTTGAATGTTAAAATTATTCTAGTATCTAGTCTGTTACTAAATTTCAGTGGTTTACTGTAAAAAAAAAAAAAAAAAAAAGCCCCTCCTTAATAGTTAATCCTTAACAGCTGAGGTTGACATTTCTGTTGCAGCAACCTTGTCTGATGTCTTGACAAATGGCGATTCCATTTGTATACATCTTAATTCCCTATTCTAGTACTTTGATCATATCACTCATTATTTTATTTTCTCTGTTATTCCCATTGCCTAGGGGGACAAAAATAATTTGGTTTTTAGGTACAAAGCTCTGGGTAATGTGCTTTTTTTAAGAAAACAAAAACCCCTTTCAAACCACTTTGTGCTTTTTTCACCTTCTTATTGCAGAACTCCTGTAAGTGTGGTTACAGTGCCATCCTTTCTGTAACTCTGGCGTGATTTCAGTGGAAAAAGTGGACAATGTTTGTGTTCTTTTTCTTAATAGAAAGATAACTATCCTTCTGACCAGCACAGTTTTATAGTTTCTTTGTATCTCTTCCCCTTTTCCACATCCTTTGGTTCTTTTTCTCTCCTGTAAAATCTCATTGCAAGTTCTTGGTTTACCTTTTTTTGCATCCAATGCAGTTTTAGTTGCACCATTAAGGCAATAAAAATAACAGTATGGGCAAATGCAAACTCACTCTTCGTTTTCTTCTTGCCAAAGATTGAACTTTATTTTTTGTGTATTATGCCTGCTTACTTCAAAAAGTGTTTCAGGACTTACTACTAATATTTATCTCTGCTGTTATTTGGTGGGTTTTTTTTGAGACATTTAAATATTCAAAAACTTAAAAATGAGAACTTAGACTGGCCTTTCTATGTCTATCAGATTGACTTTACTTTTGTGTACCTTGGAGTGTACTTGACGAGATATCAGTTTTAGTAACTGATTAAAATGTCTTAAAATATGGTGAAAATTTCAAACCTATCAAATGATTTTATAGTATTGTTTCCTCAAGGGCATGTGCAAAAACCCTGTGCATTAGAAGGAGCTTCTGACCACAGACTTTTGAAAGTGCCTTGTGGATCTCTAGAGTGATTATGCGTTTCACTGTCCGAAATTTGTGCTGTAACATGAAAATGCTCCCAAATTCTGCATTGCTTCAACGTGAACTGCATTAATCTAGGTTTCATGTACTTCACCATCTTTATAGTGGACTAATATAATTTTCAACTATAAAATTCAATTTTACCTTAAAGTTATTGGGAGCTTTTTGCTTATACTGGGAAGGCAAAAAGTATTGCAAGTATTTACAAAAAGATACTGGTAAATGCTAGGTATGCAAGAGCCAAAGAAGAGAATAAAAACCCCAAGATGCTAAGCAGTCCTGGCTACTTCATCTGTGATAATTAAAACATGGCAGATAGAGTTAATACTCTCCATGTGTTCCATTTTTATGAGGAAGTTCAAAAGTAATGTGCCATCCTCTTGTGTACAGTAATATCTCCAGCAGCACTCTCAATGCAGTTTGAGAAGAGTGAGAAAAATGTTTTATAGTTCTTCTGTCCTTTGAGTATATGACACTGAGTGTTGGTGTGAAAGTGTTTATAAAAGTAAGCAAAAAATGATTGAAGTATTTGAAAAAAGATCTTTTAATAGGTAACAAGTTAAGCTACAGATTTGAAATAAGATCAAAACTACAAATGTGTATTTTGTAATGGGAAGATGTTGACGGTATTTTTCCTAAGCATTCAGTTTAAATTAGTTCCAAAGAAAGAGGTAAATAGAGAAGTTTTTTGTTATCTTTGGTGTTGAATCCTGGAATTTAGATGAATTACCAGCAAATGCTGCTGTAGCGCACAATTGAGAAGGTTTTAGAGGAGTTGGTCAGACTGGTGATTCTCATCTGACCATGTGATATACTGGGCTGTTTTGTGAAGTGCTGTGCTTGAAATCAGTCCAACACTTTGCACTGTGTGGGGTGTACCTGGTTCTCTGGTTCCATACAGCTCCAACATTTCTTGAAACTTAGAAGCTTGGCAGAGGTACCATTGATTAGGTTTCAACCTCTAGGGGCTGTATCCAGTGCTTGTAAATACTAGGAGAAAACTACCTACCTCCCAGTGCCCCAGCAAATACAAAAATCCAGATGTAGAAAGCAGTGTGAGTAAAACGTGACCATTTTATTCTTTGCAAATTCATCTTGTGATGAATACCTGAGTATTTTTATTTTTTTTAACCTGGGGAAAAAAGAAAAATGCTTTGTCAGAAGCTAATTGAAAAATGATTTGTCAAAAGAAGCAGTCTTCTCTTTCTCCAGGACTTAACTCTACTCAGGACATGAGCAGAAATGAAAGGGTGTGAGGCATGCTCAGTTCCTTTTGAATCAGATTGAGGCATCTTGGGGAAGAAGATGCACTGGGCACATTGTGTGCTTCAGAAAAGTTTTGTGCAAGGCTATAAAAGAAACAAAGAAAAACAACTAAACCTTTTGATTTTGTGCTCCGAGTGTATATATTACCATTAATATAAAACCCATATAACACAGAAGGTAGGTAATTTCTGTTATTTATACTGTTCTGTTACAGTGGGGTTGATAACAATACAACATGCAGCTCACCTACTCATTAAGTTAACTCTCCTACAGTGAATATACTTAGGAAATGTAGTAGGTAGTGGTTTTTTGACAAAAGGAGAAAGGGCCCCTTATTACAAAAAGGACAGTGAATTACTTGAACATGTCCAAAGAAGGGCAACGGAGCTGGTGCAGCATCTGGAGCACAGGTCTGCTGGGGAGCGGCTGAGGGAACTGGGGGGGTTGTCTGGAGAAGAGGAGGCTGAGGGGAGACCTCATCGCCCTCTACAGCTCCCTGAAAGGAGGGTGCAGAGAGCTGGGGATGAGTCTCTTTAACCAAGTAATAAGCGATAGGACAAGAGGGAATGGCCTCAAGTTACACCAGGGAAGGTTTAGACTGACTATTAGGAAGCATTTCTTTCCAGAAGGGGTTGTTGGGTGTTGGAATGGGCTGCCCAGGGAGGTGGTGGAGTCCCCATCCCTGGAGGGGGTTTAAGAGTCGGGTCAACATAGTGCTGAGGGATCTGGTGTAGTTGGGAGCTGTCAGTGTGAGGTTAATGGTTGGACTGGATGATCTTCAAGGTCTTTTCCAATCTAGATGATTCTGTAAATATGAACAGTATCTTTATGGAAGGTATTTAGGAGAGAAGTATATTGTGGAACCCATTGCAAGAAAACTGTAGATACAGGTGATAGTGGGAATGCTTCCTGTAGATGAATGAAAGTGTAGAAATGTGATTACTTATATTCGAAGTAATAAGTTTTAGGAGGAGTAAATGGATAGCTACTCTTACCATTTTACCAGATAAGACAGACATGGACACACTCAAGTGGGTCCAGAGGAGGCCATGAGGATGATGATGGGGTTAGAGCACCTCTCTTGTGAAGACTGAGAGTAGGGGTTGTTCAGCCTGGAAAAGAGAAGGCTCTAGGGAAATCTCACAGTACTTAAAGGGGGCTACATGAAAGATGGTGAGACACTTTTTATCAGAGACGGTAGTGATAGGATGCACAGAGGGTACATTTATATTAGGAAGAAATTCTTCACTGTGAGGGTTCTGAGGCCCTGGCACAGGTTGCCCAGAGAAGCTGTGGCTGCCCCCTCCCTGGCCAGTGTTCAAGGCCAGGTTGGACGGGGCTTTGGGCAACCTGGGCTGGTGGAAGGTGTCCCTGCCCATGGCAGGGGGGTAAGGTCCCTTCCAATCCAAATCATTCTATGATTTGTGAATTGTTGACTGACTTGGGACAGTCTCTCCAGTCACTGTGATTAAGGACTGGTTTGCATATGTTTTTCTTGAGGCTGTTGCATATAGTATGTGTTAGGGGAAATATATCATGCTGGTATCAATATAACTGTCAATACTGTATTACCAGTAGGCACAAGCACACGGTGCTGTCTGTGCTTGTGTGAGTGCTCTAACAACCTCATCTTGCTGCACTCTGGCTGAGCAGGATGGGGCCCACTAGTGAGAATATACAGATTGATAAATGTACATTGTAGATTGCTCCAGCAGCTGGGCTCAAACACTGTCTGCCCAGTAGCTGCCTCTGGATCCCAGTCTTCCCAGTTGCTGGCACCTGGAGATATGAGCCGCTGGGGCCACAGCCCCACTGCCGTACAGACCATCTCGCTTCTGTGTGCTCTCAAATGCTCCCAGAGTTGGCCAGGACTCCCCAGTTCCCCATAGTCCCCCTGGCTCTCACCCTTAGAGGGGCACTCACACCCAGAGCTGGCCCTCACAGACCCACTCAACCCTTGCTCCCAGGCCACTTCACCTGCTCACAAGCTGGTCCAGCTTGATCTCTGCTAACAAACACACTCTCACTGGCTCCAGGTGCTGCAGCGTGAAGTCATGGGCTTCTGTGACCGACGGCTCCTGGGATGGGCCTGGAAGCATCCCAGGAGGGTTTTCTTTGGGCTCCCTGTGCTCTTCTGCAGGTTATTCTAGGTAGCAGTGTTGGTAGTGCTACAAAAAGACCTAAGGCAAAAAGAGAGAGCTCTCGGCAGCATCTCTAAGGATAGCAGATGGTACAGGATGAATTGTGGAAAAAGACCGTATAATGTTCTAGGAGAAATTATTCCTCTGTACATTTAGACATGTGGGGAGCTAAATGGGTAATGCTTATTTTAACTATTAAACTTCATTATGTTTCTTACTGGAAATATTTTTATAAAATCTGAAGAGCTTTTGCCATTTCATATTTACAGTTTCATCATCTTAATACCTCAATGTTGATATTCTTCTGAACATAATTTTACAGTATTATTAAGTACTTTTTTCCCTGCACTTGTCATAAACTTTGCTTTTGTAACAGCAATTTACTTTCTTTTAACTTTTCAGATTATTCGGATTATGAAGATAGTTCTGTTGAATTCCTGGACAGGTGCTCCTCTCCATTAACACGGTCCTCAGGGAGCTCTCTAACTTTGCGCAGCATGTTCTCAGAGAAGAATACATCATACCAGTATCCAAGAGCTATCTTGTCTGTTGACCTTAGTGGAGAAAGTAGGTTGGCTGAACAGCAACTTTAAATTTTTAGGCTTAATTCTTAAAGAAAGAGAATTTTAGTTTGTGTTTGGGATTGTAGCTATAAATATGATGACTGATTTATATTTCATCTGTTTAAATCAAAATGCTTATACTTCTCAAGCTGTTCTGCACTGTACTTGCTTTGGTTAAATATGTCTGCTTCTGAGGACATCATGTTAAAGGCATTTTGCAGAATTTATCAAGAAATCTAATACACCGGCAGTGTTTTTAAGAGCGATTTTTTGTTTTTTTTTTTGTTTTTTTTTTTTTTTGGTTGCTATGTGCAGGTTAAGATTTTTAACTGTCAAAACCCCCTGTATTTCTGTAAAGTATTGCATCTCTGCGTGCACAGTTTCATATGTATTTATTTTTACTAGACCTTTCAGATGTGGAGTTCTTAGATGATTCCTCTACAGAGAGTTTGTTACTTAGTGGTGATGAATACAATCAGGACTTTGATTCAACTAACTTTGAAGAGTCTCAGGATGAAGATGATGCTCTCAATGAAATTGTTAGATGCATTTGTGAACTGGATGAGGAAAATGGCTTTATGATTCAGGTAAAGAAATTGAGAGCGATATATTTTCCATGTGAATTTCTTGCTTGTGAAGGTGCCCATTTAATGTGTTGGAGACTGAAGTTATGTAGAGAACTGTAAATAGAAGCGAACAATAACAAAATATTTTTATATTATGCACTTCTCTGGTGTATGCAGAACTGTTACTCTAGGATGGAGTTTCTCTAACAAATCAATATGTAGAAGAGGTTTGTAAGGAAACGTAACCTTTTTTTTATAGCCAGTTGATGATTTTGGAATAAAGTATCCTTTCCCCCACACAAATCATCACTTCTGTCCACAGATGATCCTGATTATACCAGCCCTTCTGGTCTGGCCCTTGTGCTTTGCAGTACCAATTGTAGAAACCACTCTTCTCACTGTAGATTGTACCTGAGGTGTATCCAAGATCTCTGCTATACAGATGTTACTATTCTTAGTAACTGATGTGTGTCGTGTGTGCTTCATCTTTAGAATAGCAGTTCTCAAACTAGAAATCACTAGCTGGTTTTATAAACTAAGGATTTAAATCTTATTTGGTGTAGAAAAAAGGGAAGAAGGCTATACAAGGTCTGCATTAGCATTCAGGTGCTGACGGATTGCAACTACTGCTGCTTATTTATTTGTACTCCAGTGAGGGGAGCATTTCCCATCTAACAATGAATAACTTAAAGTCTTTGTCTCAAGGAATTCATAATACAGTGGTTAGATCAGATGGAAGCAACAGTGAGGAAGAACTTAGTTGTCATTACCTTTAAAATGCCATGAACTTCTGTGTTTTTTTTTTCCACTACTTAAAACCCAGGTTTGTATTCAACCATTAATGTGGCGTAGTTTCTGTTAAAAATATGGAGCCTTTTTTAGTTGAGATTTGGAGGAAGAGCAAGTATGACTGTTTGATGTTAATGGACTTAAAGTCTTTTGGAAATGACAGAAAGACCTGAAAATGAAGGACACGGACTGTCCCTGGGAACACACTGAAATGCAGTGCTGTGTTGGAGGAACTAAGCAGGAGTTCAGCTATGGTAATAAAGTGGAAAAATGGGCTGGCGTAGAAATCTTTGGAGAGAGGAGAGGGAATCGTAGCCATAGTGACATGACAAGAGGAAAGGTGACTTCAGTGTTTTGAATAGATTGGTGCTCAAAAGCATACCAAAGCAAAGAGGAGAGACTTTCAGTTGTAAACCAGAAGATATTTGGAACACAGGCAAACACTGAGTTGAGAAGAGGAAATGTATTTTTAAGTGGTAGTTTCCTGCCTGTTTCTAAAGTCCAACAATAGCCTGATTTTTCCTTTTCATGCCTTGTCACACAGAGAGCAACCAGTTTGCTGTTTCTAGGCCCTCATGTCTTACCACTTCTATTTTGCTCTCCTTTTCTCTTGTTTCTCCTCTTTCATTTTCTCTTCATTTTCTTTTTCTTTTAGATTTTCCATTGGTGCGATATTAAAAACACATCTTTCTAGCGCACTGGAGAGATGCTTTGTAAATATAAATAATTAAACTGAAGAGTTTTCTACTTTTCACTGTTATGCTGTAATGTATTACATTATCTTTCTACTTTACTGTAATATTATACTCCTGTTTTATGTTTCACTACTAAATATTTAGGTGCTAAAATACTGAATGTTGTAATAAAATATTATTAAATATTGCATCTTCAATTTCTTATTTTTTTTCCAGTCTGGAATTTGTGGTTGAGGTAACTTTCAGAACTAGAGTTCTTTTTTAGCTTGATGTCTTTGTGTACCCAAACACAAATTGCCCAACTAAAATAATCCTACTCAAACCAGCTGTTTAAGTTAAACTGCTGTTCTCTGCATTTTGACGATACAAGAAATAGCTTCTGATTTTTTAATCTACTTATCTCAGTTTTAGTTTTTGCTTTTGTTTTTTTCTGATGTCAGTGTGAAGAGTGCCTGTGTTGGCAGCACAGTGTATGCATGGGTCTGTTAGAGGACAGCATTCCAGAGCAGTACATCTGTTATATCTGCAGAGATCCACCAGGTATGGGTAAACCACCTTTATCTGCAGCTGTCTGCTTGGGATTTTTTTAGTGGAGATGTTATGTATTGTTTAAACTATTAAAGCTTTGGGTTTTGTTATGTTATATTTCTTTGGGGCAAGAGATTCTAAGTTTGCCTCTGAGCAGAAACTTACTTTCCTGTGAATAACATCTTGTTCAGCTATGCTAAATCTTATTCATGACCCTGCTTACTGTTGCTGTACTTGTTAAAACCTAATTCCTCAAAAGCCTTAGCACTTTTTCGTCTTATAGTCTGAAAAATCTTCCTAAACAAATGATTCTTGTTCAGTGATCTGTTTTGCCTATACTTGGAGTCACATCTGTTCATTTAAGTATTTTTCTGGAAAAAGGACTCATTACCACAGTACACACAGATATGCTGTGGTTGTCATTTCATATTAATTGTAATTTTATAACGTTTTTCCGGAATTGTGTAAATAACGATGTGGAACTGAATATGTAAAATATGAAAAATTCTATCACTTTTTTATGGTAAACAATAATGCATAAACAGCACATATTGAACTTAAGATTTGTTAGAATAAGTTTGAAATGGTAAGAATTAGGAAGAGTCTATTTACTTTTAAACTTAATACATTTGATTAGGAAGATACGGATTTAAAAAAATTTCTGTCCATAAACCCATTTTTCTTAGCACTTATTTGAAGAAAAACTATGTAGCTTGGAAGAAAGCTTTTATTATTTTTCCAGACAATTGATACAAATGCACATACACGTCTTCTGGTGAAATATCTAACAGTCCAGCTGTTTCAGAAGGGGGCAATAATTTACTTTCATTCTGAATTTCAGAAAAGAAATCTGAAAACTGTTTGCAGAGGTATAAAATAGCACAGTTTCTAGATGTGACCTTTCCATTAGCCCCAGCCTGAATCTAAATTGATGTATAGAGTCTTGTTTGATAGTTCTGTGTGCTGTACTCTTTGAGTAGTTAAGCTTTTTCTTATTAAAACCAAATAATTTGTCTTGTGTTCTTTCCCTGCACTGTACTAGGTACTTCGTTATCCCCTGCTATGCAGAGACTGTGTCCCTAATTTTTATCTTCTCTCCCTTCCTAACTATTACTTCTTTTCTTTCTATGTCAGGAGAAAAAGGTCATTCACAATGTCAGTATTTTAAAGTGTATTGGGATAATGGGCAGAAAGGAGATAGACAGGGTATTCTCCTGAAAGGTATGAAGGGCTTCCATCAACCCATTCTTTGTTCTGTATATGATGATAGTCTGATATGAAATTGAGTGTAAGATATTGCAGTCTTAGTCAGTCTGTTTGTCTGGGTTCCTCACTGTAAACAATAATAATGGAATAATTAGCATTATACATTTCTAGTTTTGTTTTTTGTTTTTTTTTTTTTGTTGTTGTTGGGGTTTTTTTAATAGTTAAGTTACTGTAGAAGCATTACCGAAATACTCAGTCATGCCTGTTGGGTTAAAATTGTAGATGTTGCCAGAGCATGGGAGACCTAAGGCCCACTTACATCGAAATTGTGTCTAGTAGTTTCTGATAAAAGGCATCTCAAAGGAGAGTGTAAGAACTCTGCTGTCAAATAGGTTTGAAATGTCTGATTTTCATTAAGCCTTCTCCTGGCTTCTAATAAATAGATACTGCCTTCGGTATTGAAGCAAAATAATTGTCTTCTAGGAACAAACTAGGTGTTTTGGATATGTCCATATAAAATCCACTCTCTAACATTTCTCTCGGTAACTTAGGCTTTCTTTTTTTAAGAAAATAGTAAGCTGCCATAGTTAGATAAATAAAATGCCAATTTAAACTTTTTTTTTCAATTAGATTGATAATAGTACCATCCTTAATATCCTGTACTTTGATTGAAAAGGTGATTAGATTTTCTTTTCAAATGCCATTTGGAGAGGTCTTGAGATTTCAGGATTTTTTTTTTTTTAAATAAATGTCAAGAGTTTCCTCTTAATCCATGGAAACCAAATTTTAATATATTAATAGCAGAATCTTGAATCACTTTTCGTGGATGTTAGGAGACATTTAGGAGAGTACAGCATATAATTATAGCACTCTAGTTTTAAATACAATTCTGCTGTGGCTTTAGATGATCTTCAATTTGTTTATTGCTTACCCCAGGTCAGAGGTGGAGTGCCAAATATCTTTATGATAAAGACTGGCTAAACAATGGACACATGTGTGGATTATCTTTTTTGAAAGAAAACTACTCTCACCTTAATGCCAAAAAGATTGTGTCAACACATCACCTACTGGCGGATGTCTATGGTGTAACTGAAATATTGCATGGACTACAGTTGAAGATTGGGATATTAAAGTAAGTATCAATCCAGGGTTTATTCTCCATCTTTCAATATTTAGGTAGCAGAGACTACCATTATTCCATATACATTATTCTCTCATATGAAAGTTCTTTCTTGTATGATAGTTTAAATAATTCAAGTGCAAGATGTAGACAACCCTCAGGTTCAGTGAGAGTTAGGTGTTCAGCACCTGAACCAATCTGGTATATTTGGATTTTTGGTGGTATTTTTTTTTTTAATAGACAGTTTTGTTTGAGACATTCTGAACTTATCCTAAATTGGTAAGTGACCTGAGAATACTTACATGCTAGGTAATGGCGCTTATCAATAGTTGCGATCTAGCAGAAGTGTATGCTTAATACTTCAGTCCTGTAAGTGGTGTTCTCTAACTTGCTTTTTTTCCCTCCCCTTCATTGCAGAAATAAGCACCACCCAGACCTTCATCTCTGGGCTTATTCAGGGATGCGAAAAGAACAAGAACAAATAACTGTTGGGGTAGAGAAAAAATTAGTGACTTTGCCGGATTCTGTTAATTCAACTGAAAGGACGTGTCGCAGTCAAAACCATAAAGAGCAGCCCAGTATACCCCAGAAGATGGAAGAAACGTACATCACAAGTGAGCACAGTTACCAAAAACCACAGAGTTTTGGTCAAGACTGCAAAGCAGTCACTGACCCTATGAGCTCAGATGATGAAGATACAAGTAGTTTTGAGGAAGACCAGGAATTTCACATAGAGAATAAAAACTGTTTACAATATTCTTTTAAAGATGATGGCATGAATGAGCAGGTAAGTATCATTCTTCATCTGGGAAGCTTCATAGTTGGAAAAATATGTTCAGTGTGATAAAACTTTAAGCACATACAAGTATTTAGAAATATTCATTGTTATAAGTCTACATATTCTATCAAGTCAACAAAAATTACTAGAAGCAAAGTTGGATCACAGATTGCTTCAGGTGAAGTATACGCATTTCAGCTGGTGAATGAGATGCAAAGTATTTTTAAAATATTACTTATGTCAAAAAGGCTTGTGCTCAATCCGGGGGGCAGGGGGGGCAGAAATCCCATGCTTAAAGTACAAGGTCTTGAAACAGAACGTATATGTGTTTTTCACAATGTGAGGAAAATAAGCCAAGTTTCCTTTCTTCTCAATTCTGATTTCTGCACCTGTTTGTTGTTGTTTGTTAAACTGAGATTTGTAATAGTGTTTATTATTGTACTGTATTCTTTTAATAGCAATTCTATCTAGAATTCTGTCCACAAGTCATGATTTACTGACCAACTAGTTTCACTTCATGCAACTTCTTTGGTGTCTCTTACGTGCCATATTTCTTCTAATTAAACATTTCACAGGTTTTTAGTCAGGATTATATTTGGCTGTTTAAACATCTCTTTCTCATTTTTGCATTAATGGTTTGAATCCATTACTTTGTGGAAAAAAAGTCTGAAACTTGTTAGTCTGGTTTTAGTGAAGAGTTATCTTTGAGCAAAAAACAAAGTGAAACAAACCTTTCTGTTTTCTACAATACCAACTGTGTGAGAATAATCGCCAAACTCATCCCCCTTTTGAAGTACAGTTTCTGGTGTGGAAGAAATGAGTAAGATATGTCTTTTTTTCTTTTAATTTTAGTTTTAAATGTGGCATGTAAGCTATCATAGTCTGAATGGGAATTTTTTGGTCATTCTAGTTAGAAATAACTGTTTGTATGCTAAATCGCATGATTATATTCAGTTTATGTAGTAAGCAGCAGTGTGAAATAGTGAACTTCCAACAGTAGCTTACATTGTCATTGTAAATAGTATAAATACATTTAGAATTAAAAGAAAATATATGGGAACAGTGAAACAAAAGTAATGTTTCCTTTAGAGACTAAAGCATATAGCTATAAAGCTAAGTGCTCTCTGTTTTTAAACCAGGAAGAGATCTGGGGCAGTATCAGAGTACTGCTTCCTTTGGAACACCTCAGTTTACCTTGTCAGTAGTCAGCCTTGATACCTGAAATAAGGTTTTCTGTCTAGACTTCATACTCAGCTCTCCTTGGTTTCTCCATGAACCTGTTTGTACTTACCTTAAAACCATGATGACACTGACATGGAAGTGCCATTTTTACATGAACTGACTTCTCTGTAAGGTGTTGTCTTCACTGCTCCTCAAAGTTTTGTTTCAGTTTGGATTCTCCATTCTAGGATCCCACAGAGCTTTGAGTATTCTGCTTTGTCTTACACTAATCTACAGTTCTGTTATGTGTCTTTTCTCTTACAATGTTCAGATTGACTATTATCAAGTCCCTTTCTGGACTATGAATAATCTTTAAAATTGTGTTTATCTTCCTTGTTCATGCTTCTGAAAGCATAAGTCTTCCACAATTAAACCTCCCATTTATTTTTTTTCTTTACAAGCTGGATCCTGTACTCTGCTTTTCTTATTACCCCTACCACCACTCCCTAACTGCCTACGTTGATCTCTTAGCTTAGAGGACTTGTTTGATCCTGTGGGTATTTTGAATAAATACAGAGGTCATTAGAAGGGAAAAAAAAAATCATGATGTTATTTAGCTTTTAAGTTTTTCTCTATCTTAGTGCAGTGGGCACCTAAAAGATTCCCTTAACACATGAACTTGGTTTTTGAATTACAGACTTGAGTCCTCAAACAACAAGGTTAAAATGACATTATTTTTCTCAGAGTTTTTGAGAGGGTCTGAAAATTGTAAGAAATGGGGCATTTCTTATTTACATTGGAAATATCCTTTATAAGATTAATAATGGTTTGAATAGTGAAAATACACTGTGGAGGCAAACCTGATGTCTTGAAAAAAGGAAGATTTTTATTTGAACAGTTTGAGTTTAGAGGCTTTTTTTGACTTTTAAAATCTGTCTTTGATAAATAACTCTTTTAATTAATATTGTGATAGTACTTGTCCTCCAGGACTTGCTCATAAAACTGCTGGCAGGTCGGTCCAAGTTTGATTTGGATTTTTTTAAATTGATTTAAAGCCTTAAAAAGAAAGGGGTTTGTTTTGGTTTAAGTAGGAACTTAGAATCCATCAGTCCCTATTTTCTTCTTCCTTTTTCACTCTTCCCATTCTTGACTGAAGGACAGTATACTTTATTTTTCTTATTGTGAGATGCGGAAAAAAATTTGCCAAGCACTTCACCAGAGAGGTGTATTAATACAATAAAATTCACTCATTGCTCTGGCATTTGCCATGAACTGACACTGTGTGAGCACCCATAGCCAGCACTCTAGTCCCTAAAATAAAATCATCAGTTGTGAGAGAACTTGATCAGATACTGAGTCATAATACATATAAAATGGAAACTGAATCCTGCTAATTAATGAAGATGCTGAACATTTAAACCCATTAAATTTGGTATACTTCATTTGGTCATTTCCATTAGCTGCAAAGTCAGATACAAAAAGGTGGGGAACTTGTGTATTATCTCTGAAGATACTGATTATTTCAAAGAAGGCAATCTTCCTCAGATCCTATGTTTGCATAACTCTGCATGTTACTGCCCTAGTAACTATCCCCAAATATGTTAAATTCTGTCCCAGAGTTGTGCTTGCAAGTTACATGGGACCATAGCAATGGTAGGAAGAGAAGTCTCTTGTCCTAACAAACAGAATGGCCAGCTTATTTGTGCAAAATAATTTTTGACATCTTGTTATTGCTGCATTTTAGGGAATTTTCTTTCATTCTCTGACTAAGTTTGAAACAAACCATAGGGTTTTGCACACTTACAGTGATGCACTTCAGCACTTCATGATTTAAGTCCAGATTTATGTAAAAAGGGCACAGAAATGCAGTCTGTATTACTGCATTAAAGTGCTTGAGCTTGTAAACTTTACCTCTTGCCTCACTCCCCCAGTGCTATACATGCTTATTTGTATATTTGCATTTTGTTTGGTTTAAAGTATTGATGTGTCATGTAACATGGGGTTTTGAGTAAGCTTGTTGTCAAGTAGACAGAAGTACAGTTCTAAACCAGCGTAGTTTATCATGTCACTCAAGTGTTGAAATCAACACCAGAAATGAAAACAAAAAAATCCTCTTAAATGGCAATTTTTTTCTTTCTGTTGCTCCCATGAAGAAGAATTCTGCTGAAGGAAACACTGTGTTTGTTTGTAATGAAAGAAAAGGCTCAGAGGAACAAGTGGATACACACCTTCAATGGCAGCTAAATCTCCTTACCCATATAGAGAATGTACAGAATGAAGTCACCAGCAGAATGGACCTGATTGAAAAAGAAGTTGATGGTAACTGCATTGCCAGATACTTGTTAATAACACCTGTAACAGGTTCTTTCATAGCCACTCTGTTCAAGATGATCTGAGGCACTAAGGATGAATTTTCAAGTATTGTATTAAAATTTGGGTACCCAAAATTATACCCAGAGCTTGTACCCTTGATCCTTCCTACCCCCTTACACAAGTTTTTAATGCCAAATAAAGTAGCTTAAGTACTAAGGACCCCTGAAAAATTAGCTCAAGTTTGTGACTTCAGAAAGCTTAGATAACTTGTCTAGTCCTTGTCCAGATGTGGATCACAAAGTTAATAGATTTTTTTTTTTTTTTCTATGCCTGGAGTGGTTTTAGCCTCATTGTTCTAGTAATTAACAGTATTTAGGAAAAAAACCCGCATGTTTGTTCTGCCTTTTAATTTAGTTTGCTATATAGTAGTAAGTGCCAGGTTTCAGGAAGACAAATCAGTCTTTATGAGAAAACGAGTGAAATTATAGTGTAGAACAAAATATTACAGCACATAAGTTTACTTGCCAGTCATAGAAATTAGAATGAGGGGTTTATAGTCTAGTCATAGGAGTCCTTTATTTGTCTTTTGACAAATAAAGTCTTACTCCTATTTGCAGTTACACTTTCAATATTTCTCCTGTGCTAGGCTGTATATCTGGGCTAACAGGGTTGACGTTTTTCTTTCTGTCTCTGCAAGCATAGAAACTCCTTGAAAACATTTGAGGATTGGAAAATCATTCTGTAATCTGGATCTTGTAAACAGGAGCCTGTTAACATAGCATAAGCAAGCCTTGCATTTAAGGATTGTGTTCTCTGTTGCAGAACTGTCAGAGCTAGAAGATCATGAACTGAGGTTTCTTTTATGTGTATAGATGGTAAATTGTTAGCTAAGGGTATAATTTGCTCCCAGGTACCTTTTTCTAGTAACAATCAAATTAGAAGTTATGTTTAGAATGTCTGAGTGAAACACAGAATTAGTTGGTGTTTCCCTAATAAAAATTTATTCTGTTAAATAAAAACCACAGCCTCGGTATAGTTTCCCTTCTTATAAAAGACAGAGTAAGAAAGCAAAGTTTATTTTTTTTAATGTAAACTGTTTCTTGAAGACTTATTCTAATCAACTTCTTCCTTTTCATTCTGTAGTTTTAGAAAGCTGGCTTGATTTCACTGGAGAATTGGAACCACCAGATCCTCTGGCAAGATTGCCTCAGCTCAAGCGACGTATCAAACAGCTCTTAATTGACATGGGGAAAGTACAGCAAATAGCAACACTTTGCTCTGTATGACAAAAGGAAGAATAAAGAAATACAAATAGGTTCCCTTACAGTGAATTTTCTTACTAGCCACCAGACTGACAGGAAGACAGCAGAAAGCTGAGCATTTATCTGATTCTTTGCTGATTACATTATTAGCCTGAAGCTTTAGAGAGGAGAGGAAATTTAGAGTGAGGAATCTGTTACATTGGAAATCTGAATATTCAGTGTCCAAGTTTCAAAATGTAATATATTACATACTGAGGAATGTTGATATGATTTTAACATGATAAACAAGAAAATCCCTGCACACAAGAAAGTTGAACAAAAAAATCTCTGAAGAACAATGTTACTGTTTTGAGACTTTCAGAAAAAAATTCTAAATTTGCAGAATTCAGCTGACTGAAAAATCTTGGGAACTTCTTTTTTAATGAATTCCTCTTACCTTGCTAGTGAAAGATAGACACAGAGAGATCTGTAGCCTCTCTACAAGGAAAGTTTTTAGATTATTTCCTTCTCTCATGAATTTTCTGGAAAACGAACATACTAGCTTTGATTTTTTTTTTTTTTTTAAAGAAATTACTTACTATGGTCTCCTTTTTAAAATATTTTTTTAAATAGAAATCCTTATTACAGCACTCTTAGGCTCCTTTAAAACATAAGTGACAAATAGTGGTCAGATGTGCCAAATAATATTAAAACCACTGGGATGAGAGTTTGATTATGACTTACATGAAGGTTTTTCCAAAGTCCTACTCGGTGCCAGCAATCCATCCAAAATTGTGTCTAGTTTATATTTTTTTATGTTATACTGCAGTATTCAGGATTCAAGGTACATTTTTGTCCTGGGTAACTCTGTTCTGGTCTTGGCCCTCTGAAACTTCACCATCCTCAGCTGGGATGAGGAATGACAAGAGCATCAAAACTGTCTGTGGCTGTGAATATACTAAACCACTAGAATAAATATCAGAAGATACATTATTCAAGATGTTTTTATAAAATCTTTCAGCTTCAGTGAATGAAATGTCATGAAACCAAAGGCAACCTACTTGCTCTTTTAGTTCTTGCTGGATTTTGAGCCCAGGACTTTCTCTGTGCTTATAAGTTGCCGCTGTACCCAGTGCTACATGCATATTTGTATGGGTATGTATATGTGTATAGATACACATGTACATATATACATACTATATACATTTATATCTACACATGTCTAGTTTTATTACAATAGACTATAAGAACTGGTGGTTAACATTAAATGTTACCTTTTAACAAGCAGTTTCTAAAATTGAAAATAATGTATGTACAGGTTTTGAAATTTGTAAAATATGACTGTTAAAAGGAGGCTATTTAACTGATGACATTAAGATACTTGAACATTTTATGCCTCACGTCTGTTTATCAGTTCTAGTTATCTGTATAAATGCATTTTAGAACCGATAGACAGTAAACTTGAATTTACCTTTTGATAAGAGTACAAGCCACTGTACATTCAAAAATTATTTAAATTTGCAAACAACACTGTTCTATATGTAAGGTACTGTATGTAAAACTGTTTATTAAAACTATTCTGCATACTCTACATTTTCCACTTTTCTTCCTGATCTTCATACAAATGTAAAAAAGAAGTGATTGTTATAATGTACAGACTATCAAAAATTCTTGGAATGCCTTTTGAGGATGCATAAATTTGAAAAATGTGCCAAAGATGGATTATCTTGGAAAGACTTTGCAACCAGTGCATTGAACTTTCACGATAAAACCATTATTGAGAAAGAAAGCAGCATGGCTGGTTCATTGCTAAAATAAACCTACCCTGACATTTCCCATCTGTCTATCATATCTGAAGTGAGTTAATCACTCTTGATGTCCAAAGCAAAGTGTAAACCCTTGTTAGAGTGGTTGCTATTTAAAAAGTCTTGCCACATCAGGCTTGTAGGAGACATTACAAAGTTGCATGGTAACGTGGAAGTTAATTATGGAATCATGATTGGCAACTTCATAATGCAGAAAGAACACAAGAGCTGAGGAGTTGTTGACATTTTTATAGCAACTGATAAATAAAATACTGTGTTATGTAGTTGGATGCTTAAATAACTGCGTTAATATGAACAGTTGAGTGACTTACTTGCTTTTGGATATGTGAGACGTTTTATATATTATTCACTTGCTGCATATCCTTGAATGTGGTACTGTGTGTACTGTATAAGAGCAATGTAAATCCCGATGAATTACTTTGAAACAAAGTGGAGTGTATTTACATAATTTATACAGCATACACTGTAGCAATATTATGCAATGTGTGTGCATGTGTGTGATGTAATATAATTGTAAATGTTACTGAAGGTGGAGGAGGACCGAGAGATTCCACGTGGGAGGATGGAGGTTTCATTCTTAGTGCAGAGATGGAGGAATGGTATCCTGAAAAGGAAATCTTAAGGTCAAAGTTAAAGTTGCCCTTGCAGCTTAACTGTCTTCTGTTTGTATATGTAATGGTCTCTAAATTTACATGAGTATGTAATTTTATCCTTCAGGATCCTGCCTTATTCAGGATGGACTGTGCTTACAAAAACAATCTGTTCAGTATTTTTTTTATCTTCATTTCTTTGTGTATTTCTTGTATTATAAAAATTCCTGCAAGCATTCATATCTTCTAAGAAATACAATCTCAGTGTCCTTCTGGACAGTGCTATGATACATTGTGTGTTGCTTGAATGCTTCACAAACTTGTCTGAGTTTGCTTTCTCAAATTGTGATGTTAGTCTGTAATGTGAACCTTAGTTTTGGCCCCAGTTTCTCAAGTGTTCAGAAGTTTGGGATGCTTTTGAAGTAGTTTTTTTTTTCTTTAAACACAAGTCAAGTGCCATAAAAATGCTAAGTGTTTTGCACAGAATGTAGCCTACAGTTGATTGCTTTGCTCATGTGCCAGTCAAACCTGATGTGATCTGGCTCATACCAGTATTTCTTCTAGTTGGCCTTATTGAGAGAATCTTTTTCCTATAGGCATTGTTTTCCATCTGTCTTCCTGCTTCCATTGTAAATAATCCAGGGATATACACACAGTCTGTTTGCAACATCATTTATTGGGATGTGAATTGCAATTACTTGTGCTGTATGACAAAAAGAGGCAGACTCTCTCTGAGGAAGAAATAGTATATGGCAATGTATGGACTGGGTTTGATACATCAGCATAGAAAGGTAACATTTTTAAATTTGCAACCTTCTTTTAAGTTGGTATAACTTCTTAATAAAAGGGAAATTCCATTGTAAAGAAGCCTCTTGTGATTTCACAGGCTAAATGTCAAACTTGTAGAGCCTTTAAACACTCAGCTTTTTGTCTGAGATTGTTTGGGTTTTGTGTTGTTTTTGTTGTTGTTGTTGTTTTTTTTTTTTTTTATGGAGGTGTCAGGGTAATTAATTTCAAAGCCTTCCTCCTGTGACCGTACTATAGGCATCTGCATCAGGAATTTTGCATTTTCAGTTACAGTGATGGCAGTAGGACATCAGTATTGAAGTCATAAATGAAATATCTTGGTAACGTGATCAGATACCACGATGGGGCTGCCTCTGTTTCAGTTACAAAATAGGCTTCAAGTCATATGGCAGGGAATGAGTTGGAAGATGCTTCCTGCTAACCCTTTTCCTGGGTAGTGTCAGTTGAATAGTGCCCATATTTTGCATATTCTGGCCTTAGATGCATAGATCCTTGTTCAGCTTTGGTTTAATTTACAATGGTAGAAGCCTGTCTTCCTCTTTAAAATAGGTGAAGAAGGTGCGTTGCGATTTTCTGATAGATATCACATATTCACCGGGTGGCAAAAAATTGAAACTGTTCTTCCATGGGTGCAGTCCTCTTGCATGGCTGACATCCACCTGTCTCTTAATTTTGTCTCTGAGCTCCTACATGTGCTCCTCATCTGTTTATTCTGCAGCTTGCATCTGTTTCTCCTTTTGTTTTTCTGCTTTCTGCACTCTGGCTTCTTCTGTGATGCCTGGAGGGTTTCACTCCTCTGTTCTTGTGCCCAGTTCTTTCTGGCTGCTGTGGGAAGCAGTCATAGGGACAGGTCTCTGCTCTTCTGTCTTCAGCCTCCAGTGTGACCTGTTAGCTGTGTATGGTTGGAGTGTGTCTACCATAATCAAAGTCTTCAGATGTTTTTGCTGCCTGCCTTTAGTAAGCCTCTTCTAATCTTGTGCAAGTGGTGATCTCCCTCTACTCCCATCTGGCTTCTAACTTAACTGGACTTTAATGCAAAACCCCTCTGCCACTGTTGGGCTCCACCACTCCTCACCAATCTGTAGGTTGGGCTGTAAAGGAGTTGCTTGAACATCACAGTAAAAATATAAAACTATTTTGATGTTTGCAAACCAGAATATTTTTCCTTTGTATATAAAGGGAGACTGCAACTATTTTTATTCGTTGAAACTTTAAAAGATGCAAACCAGGTCCTGAATTGAACTGGAGCTTAATGTAAAAATCAGGAACAAAAGTAGGGGGTGAGTAGCACTCTGCAAACAGGGGCTTGGTAGGAAGTGTGTAATCAGGCCATCTTGACTACCTTGCCCTGTTCGTAGTTATGTGTGGGTGCTGATGTGTAACGGAGGTGCATGCAGTGATGCCATTCATTTGCAAACAGAACCCATCTTTGCCATGTTGGCTTAGAACACTGGAACTGTAGGTTTTCTCTCTACTGCTTAGAAATGTTACAGTACATGCACCTTAAGTTTGCAGTGCTTGTTAAGATCAGAGGCTGAATCACTCAGAATGCCTATTGCTATTCTCACATTTTATTAGCTGACACCTTTTCTGTTGTATTGAGTCCATATGGCTTTAAGTGATCATTTTACAGAGGATGTTTGAAAATACTTCCGTAATGGTTTTTATTATACTATGTTGTGTCCTGGGCACTGGGTGCGGGGGTCTGTCTGTAGCAATAAGTATTATACACTATGTGTATATCTGTTTATATATGGAAAACAAATATGGAGCATGTAATGATGGTGAAAATACACTGCACAGGGAGCAGATTGTGCATTTGACAGCCATTCTGCACCAGCCTGAACAACTCAAAAAAAAAAAAAAAAAAAAAAAAAAAAAAAAAAAAACATGGAAAAAATGAACTAGCATGAAAAATCATTCAGGAGTTAATTTTCCTTTCCATACACACCAGGCCTGTGTGTAAGTGGTAGATGAGCCAACCGTATTCTATGGATTGAATAACTAAATCTAGTTCAATTGCTGTTTGCTTCAGACAGCAGCCTGCCTTTCTTTCAAACTGGCCAGAGCCACCTCTGTTCAGCTGTAGCCACGTGCGTCAGTGTATTGTCACTAAACACTCTGAGAGAGGCAGCAGTGCACTATTATTAAATCTTCTATGAGAGAAGCAAAATACTTTCTTTTGTGATTTTTTTATAATAGCAATAATGTTGACTGCGTTCTAATACTCACAATAAAGATCTGTTGAGATTGTTATGTGCCTGGGCTCCCGTTCAGTGGACTTTTGTGCTAGTGAGTGTTTGTGTATGTTTTAAAGCATTAGGGAATCTTCAGTTGCATTTTTAACCTGTAGTTATATGCAGTCCTCAATACTCTTGTATACATTGCAAAGCTTTATAGGGACTTCTCTGTTTTAGCCTGTAGGCAAATTGTGCAGTCAGTGAATTTACAGTAATGAATTACTGTGTGGCAAAATAATTAGAAGATTTTTCTGTTCCTGAACTGCTTTGGTGTTTAGCAATTGCAGTGTTTGAGTTTTACAAAGCACTCAGTTCTTAAAACACAAATGTCTTCCCACATGTTCACAGTGATGGCATCTCTTTGGACAGATGTCTGCCTTCTAAGGGTGTTTCTAGTTTTGTGCCTTTATACAAACATCATTACAAAATAACTTCAGTTTGCTTTTAGTGATTTATTTTAATATTGCCTACAAGCTGTTGTTCAGGACTCTGGTAGAAAACAAATAAGCAAACAATGCTGAGAAATTTCTTTTAGACATCCTGTGGACCATGGCATAAATGATAAGCAGCAGATGAATGAAGTTGGACAGAATCTGAATGAGTTACTAATACAGACAAATTCTGTTGTTCACAACAACAACAGATATCATAAACATGTAACATTTCAAAATTTAAATTCTGAAACAGATATCTTAAGCATTATTGAAGGGACAGTCTCAAAGCAGTGTCTCAAATGTAAGACACAAGGCTGAATTCAGACCTTGGAGTAACATACTGAAACACTTTGTCAGACTTATTAAAGAAGAGGTTTCCTAAATCAGATCAAACATCTGGCTAGCCCAGTGTCTTCAGTATCTGTCAGCATCTGTAGAAATATACTGGCTACAAAAGTTCTGTACAAATTGGTCTTTCCCTTAGTGTACCTCTGATAAACTGAGGTTTCCTTTAGCAATATCTTTATCGTGACCATCACTTTTATCAATCACTGATAGGTGAGTTTAATCCATCTTTTTTCATTCATTTCTCTCTGCAGCATCAGGTGACACACTGAGTTCTACAGCTTTGTTATGGGATAGAGGGACTGTTTGTCCTTGAACTTGCTTTCTGACTCCATTGGCTGTATGCTATTGTCTTCAGTTCAGAGGTTAAATATTGCATTATCAAAAAGACCAAAAGTAGTTTTGTCCTAGTAGTGCCAGAAGTTTGTCACCCTGTTGCTGTCCTTGTGTGACTGGCGGTGCCTTTTCTCGCTGTGTTAACTTGCTTTTGTCAAATCTTGAATTGATTCGGTGTGCAACTCTATCCATCACGGCACTGCGGGT